GCTGGCGCTGCTGGTGGTGAGCTAGCTGGCTCTGCTAACGGCAAGCTGGCTCTGCTGGCGGCGAGCTAGCTGGCGCTGCTGGTGGTGAGCTAGCTGGCTCTGCTATCAGCAAGCTGGATCTGCTATCAGCAAGCTGGCTCTGCTGGCGGCGAGCTAGCTGGCGCTGCTGGCGGTGAGCTCGCTGGCTCTGCTGGCGGCGAGCTAGTTGGCTCTGCTGGCGACGAGCTAGTTGGCTCTGCTGGCGGCGAGCTAGTTGGCTCGGCTGGCGGCGAGCTAGTTGGCTCGGCTGGCGGCGAGCTAGTTGGCTCGGCTGGCGGCGAGCTAGTTGGCTCGGCTGGCGGCGAGCTAGTTGGCTCGGCTGGCGGCGAGCTAGTTGGCTCTGCTGGCGGCGAGCTAGTTGGCTCTGCTGGCGGCGAGCTAGTTGGCTTTGCTGGTGGCGAGCTAGTTGGCTCTGCTGGCGGCAAGCTAGTTGGCTCTGCTGGCAGCGAGCTGGTTGGCTCTGCTGGTGGCGAGCTAGCTAGGAAGGAATGCGAGAGGCGAGCAGGGGCTGGTGGCGACCAGCAGGCGCGATAGAACGGGCTACTGGCGGAACGGCAGGCTGGCGTAGTTGGTGCAGGCGAGCTAGAGAGGTAGCTGGCGGGCTAGCGAACGAGCGAGGGAGGGAGCGAGCTGGCTAGCAGGCCGGCTGGTTAACGTAAGGAAATGAGTGAGCGCTAGGAAGGGGGGGGGAGAAATCTATGAAGCGCGAAATTGGAGAGGGGGGAGGTGTGAAAAAACAGTTCGTTACACTAGCAGAAGCGTGAGATGCGGAAAACTACCTAGCTCTATACCATTTTAGGTTATCGAGAGTAGTGTGACTAAGGGAAAATGTCGAGGGATACCGTATTCTCCCGGATACAGTACCCGCCGTAATTAAGCTCCCATGGATGGCTTGAGCGGGTATGGGTGTTGAATTAAACTGGATCTAGTTACCACCCTACTTTTGGGGTTGAAAACAATTGAACACCCTCCCCCGAAACGGGGCACTACATTCCAGTTAATTTTTACTAAACAATCAGGAATTAGAGGTTAGCTAAACAACCTAAGCATGCTTGCATATCCTAGAGCTCTATCAGGGGACCACAGTACAAGCTACCACTACTTTAACTCGTGCTGCTACTGCCTCTTCCACGTGCTCTAGTCGTCCTCGTCATCATCTTCAGCGTCGCCAGCATGCCATTCCTCAACATCACTCCCATCCGCCAGCTCGTCCCACCAGTGGCCATCATCATCCTCTTCAGCAATGCCTTCAGCCAGCCACTCCACACTGTCTTCATCTCGTTCTGCTTCTGCTGCTGTCTCTGCCTCTGCTGCAGTGAGGTCGGCATCCTCTGCTAGTGCCGCTGTTGCCGCCGCTTCATCCATGTCGCCATTGGCTTCTGCTGCCACCGCGGCATCATCCTCCTCGTCGCCTGCCAAGTCCTCGTCGACGTCGATCGTGCGGTCATACAGAGGGTTTCACGTACTCGCTCTCACCCTCCTGAACTTGGACGCTGTCCATGACTTCCACGCCCGGCTTCTCGCGGAGGTGTCGGAGGGCCAATCAGTCCTCGGAGCCATCCAACGCGTTCAAGATCCCACAGGTCTTGAACGAATTCCGTATGAGCTCCTCCAGAACTGCCGCCCATGACCGTGCAATCCACTTGAGAATGAGCTCTGCTCGGTTTTTTTCAGATTTCCTGCAGAGGGAGCGGTGACGGTCAACGGCAACAAGTCAGCATTTAGAAAGCGATGAATAACATTAACAATGGTCAGTTTAGTACATGAAGCATTAAACGAAGCAACGGGAACATGACGCGGGTTCAACTGCTGCTGTTTTGAGGTCAATGCTGAACTCCTCGAACCAGGTGCCGTAGTCGCTACGCACAACAGCTTTGAAGCTCTTGTTCACTGTGACATCCAGCAGCTGCACGAGAGGCGTGCAGCCTCCAGGGATGACTGCGCGCGTTAGCTTGCAGAGCTTCATCGTTTGTCCGACCGCCTCTATGAGGTGCCCCTTGTAGGAGTCGAGGATGACAAGTGCATCCTTGCGCCTATTGCCGGCTTCGAGCAGCGGCCGAAGGAAGGGGTTCAGGACTTGAGTAGTCCTGTCTTGGACTAGCTTGTCGTCCATCCAGCCCTTATGCTGGGCTCAGATGATGACATCTGCATGCACCCAAACACCACAGGCTGAGAGTCAGTCAACAGACGACGGTGTGGAGGAACCAAGGAAGCAGCCAGAGTTCAAAATCCTTACCCGGGGGAACCTGAATCTTCGGAAGGGTCTTCCGTTTGAAGATGACATATGGCGGGAGTTTCATTCCTGAGGTTGTGACCACCAGCATGACGGTCAAGCGCAATTTTCTCGTACCCGGCGGTCCTCACGTGGACTGTCCGCGAACCTTTGTGCTCCAAGGTCCTTTCCTACGGCATCTCGATGAAAAGCGTAGTCTGGTCCGCGATGACGATGAGGTCGAGATTGTAGCCGTTGAGCAGTCGCATTTGCTGACGAATTCCCATAACTTGTGGATTTTCTCCCGCATGTCTGCATTGGACAGAAACAGAGATAGAGAATTAGTCGGGAATTCCCGTAAAACAAACATGCACTACACGGCAGGACTGGCGAGATGAGAAAGGAAGCTTACCACCGGCGAGCTTCTGCCCCATCTTCGTCTTCACACGTCGTGTCAGCCCAAATTGCATGCGGAAACTGAAGGTCCAGCAGGCGGACGCGCGCCAGTCGACATCAGGATGGCGTGCCCTCATGTACGAGCGACTCCACTTCTGCAGGAGCTTCACGGAGATGGCCAGGCCCTTCCCTCGATGCCGCATAAACTGACGGTAGAGAGCCGCTTCCATCGTCGAAAACTTCACCGGACGACCCGCGCCAACGAGCCGCTTTCGACAGCTTGCAGCGGCACGGAGTCTCTCCCGTGCCTTCTTCCATTCCCGAATCATAACAAGCTGCACACCTACGAGCTTGGCCAACGCACGGATGGAGAGGTCAGGCTGAGACTCAAACGTTCCTAACCAATACAATTTCTCCGAAGCGATGTACGAGCGGCGTTTCCGCTTCGTCATCCTGCTTCGAGGAGAGGGGGGTTCGCGTCATGGTTGATAGTCATGCCATTTGGACGCAGACAGGCGCGGGGAAGCTCGGCACTGTGATACGGGGCAGAGGACGCCGACCCTCCATTGCGTCGGTCACTGAGTCTGTGGCGGTGTTGTCGCCCTCGCCAGACGTGCGACTTGGGCTCCGAGAGGGCGACGATACAGTCGGGCGAGATGGACGGTGGAAGAATGTCTGCTGACCGTAAGGGCCTCTCAGAGATAGTAAACGCAACATGCCTGTGCCAAACGCCATGGCGGGAGTGTCCTACAGAAACTGAGTGGGATGCCTAAGACAGCCCTTGCAGGGGCTGTCTTGTAGGCATTCTGCTGCTGAATGGTGAAATGAGGCAAAAAGGTCGGGTAGAACCACTTCAACAACGGGATGGAGGGGAAGGAAGGGACGTGCGCGACTCCCTCGTCCCTATCGACTTCGAACAACCCCGTCACGAGCGTCCAGCATACGACTTCGTGCGATGGACGGTCGTGGATGGGTCCTGAATGGAGTCTCCCTTTGGATGTCGTCAAGCAACGATGTGTTGGCACAGCACTGCATGGAAGCAGCTAGGGTGAGGCCTGCGGCACGCGTTCATTGGCTAAATTGCCAACATTGTCCGTGACTGCTGGTTTAGCTGACGACGTGGCTTGCAGATGGACCACATCGTCAGGTACGCGATGAGGTCGCGGATTGTTGAACTCTGACTCAGTACAAAGTAGTGTAACAAGCATAAACATTTTGCAATTGGAAAACCCATATGCACGTTCCATAGAACCATCGTGTTATATATTTTTTGCCTGTAATTCCATCCTCCCCAAAATTTTCATGAAATTTTATTAGCTCCCTAGGGTACTGTATCAGAGAGAATACGGTACAAAACTAGGGCTGTACTCGCTAAGAACTAAACTAGCTATAAACAAATATGACCCAGCAAATCTATATGAATAAATTTGTCGACAAAATGGAAATGGATGAAGTGAACCAGGCCCCCAAATTTGTTTTGGGGGTGTCTTATTCATCAGACTTGCTTGTCATCCCTTGGTATGGCCATCAGAGTCGCCCCTAAAAAAAAGTCTTAAAAATCATAGTAACAAGAGATTTTTTGTCTGATTATTCTGAGTTATCATTAGTTTTTACGTTGATTATTAAACTGGTGTTCTGTATGTCTACTTTCTCCTTCCCTTTCTTAATCCAGGGGCTTTCTCTTCTTACATGCTCTTGCTATCTGTGTGCTGGCGACAACACAGAATGTCGCATCACCCTAGACCCGGCCCCGCGCCAGAGCTAATGGGGCGGGCGGAAAGGAATTGGGGGGCGGGCAAAGTAAAATTGCAGGGGAGGGAGGGAAATTGCGCCATCCAGGCGGCTATTTCGTGAAGGGCCAATGGGCGGCCTCGCACACACAGCCCGCAGCAAACATCGGTGATTTTTTTCAAGGGCCAATCGGCCCCTCACACCGCACCCAGCACAAAGTGGGAGGGCCAGTCAGCTCCCTCACACAGCCCCCATTATGCACTGGCCTTAGATTTTGGTGAAGGGCCAGTAACTGCCCTCGCAAAGCCCCCCGCAAGCATCGCGCCCTGATTTTGGCTAAGGGCCAATCAGCGTCCCTCACGCGTAAATCACGCTCCTCCGGCATTACACGAATCAGAGTCATCCCTGTCAAAAGACTAGCTTAGCTAGGAAGCCATAGAATGGCACAAGGTTTAGCTAGGAGCTAGGAGGAGCCATGAGAATGGCGAGAGGTTTTAGGTGCTAGGAAAGTTGAGGAGAGGAAAAGAGAGTTGGATTAGGAAGAGAGAGGAGTACAAGGAGGGGTTTGTACCCTCTACAGAAAATGTTCAGTAACAACCTACCAAGCCTATATAAATTATAACTTATATAATTTTAACAATCCCCCCATACAGAGTTGAGGCATCAGAGTGCACTAATAGAAAAAATCTGAAAAATCAGTGTAGTACATAGATCTTCTCTGAAAAAACAGAGTCAAGTACAAAAAAAAATCTTTCCAACTAGAGTACACCCCGTCTGAATAGAGTACATGTACACGTAAAAAGTCTGAATAGAGTACATGTACCGTGGTGTCACACACTCTAGTCTGCTCGCATCCATTATTTGGCATCTTCCTTGTACCGTATTTCATCTCCCCGACACAACAGCATACCTCGTTAGCACCACAGTCGTGCTGCTCCCCCATGGCGCCTGTATGGCCCCCGGTCAGTCAGTCAGTCAGTCGGTCAGTCAGTCAGTGCATGCACAGCCAGCAGCAGCCACTGGCGCAGCAGCCATGGGTGCAGCAGCCACGGGTGCAGCAGCCACGGGTGCAACAGCCACGGGTGCAGCAGCCACGGGTGCAGCAGCCACGGGTGCAGCAGCCACGGGTGCAGCAGCCACGGGTGCAGCAGCCACGGGTGCAGCATGATGCACAGGGGCAAGTGCGGAAGCTGCACCTCCTCGTCCCCCGCATGGCCACTCTGCACCTCCTCGTCCCCCGCATGGCCGCTCTGCACCTCCTCGTCCCCCGCATGGCCTCTCTGCACCTCCTCGTCCCCCGCATGGCCGCTCTGCACCTCCTCGTCCCCCGCATGGCCTCTCTGCACCTCCTCGTCCCCCGCATGGCCTCTCTACAGCGCTGAAGGCTGCTGCCGCGACAACTCCCTTGCTTGAAATGACACACTCCCCATGCATAACCCCACTCCCTCATCTGCACACGCTCATTCCCACGCATGGACTCACTTGCTCAACCCGAATCCCCTGGCTGCTCCACGGCCCCACACCCCTCGCCTGCACCAGCACCGCGGCGTGCACCACCTCTCCGTGCCGCCCCTCCCCAACCCCCTCCCCCCCTCTCTGTGCCATCCTCCATGCCCCCCGGCGAGGCAGCGTCCCCAAGCAGCGCGCGCAGAGGCAGGGAGGGCGGGGGGCAGTAGGGCGTGGGGGGGAGGGGTGCAGGGTCGAAGACCGGGAGGAAGTAGGTGGAAAGAGGGGCGGTGGCGGCCTGGGGAGGTGGGGGGTGAAAGAGGAATAGCAGGAGCAGAGGGTGGGGGAGAGATGAGCTTGATGGTGTGAGGATGAGCATTGGGCGTGTATGCTTGGGGATGTGGGCATGAGTAAAGATGTAACATGCATGGCAGCAGGGCATGGCAGCATGGCACGCACCTCAGCGTGCAGCATGGCACGCACCTCAGCGTGCAGCATGGCATGCACCTCAGCGTGCAGCATGGCACGCACCTCAGCGAGCAGCATGGCACGCACCTCAGCGTGCAGCATGGCACGCACCTCAGCGTGCAGCATGGCACGCACCTCAGCGTGCAGCATGGCACGCACCTCAGCGTGCAGCATGTCGAGGAGCACGGGAGGGACGTGGTCAGGGTGGGCGGGGTCCTCCACGCACATGCGCACAATGCGCTGCAGGAGAGGCGGGGTGATGGTGGCGTGCAGCTGCCGGGCATGGGGGCAACAGGATCACGTGCAGGCAGACAACCCGGACAAGCACAGTGGCTACTTGGCACGTGAGCGATCAACCATGCCGTGTGAGCGGTCAACCGTTCCTTGTGAGTGGTCAACCGTGCCGTGTGCAAAACGGTGCCATGATGCCACCTCCTATCAAGCCATCACATCGCACCAAGCCACCACATCGCACCAAGCCACCACATCGCACCTAGCCATCACATTGCACCAAGCCATCACATCGCACCAAGCCATCACATTGCACCAAGCCATCACATCGCACCAAGCCATCACATAATACCAAGCCATCACATCGTACCAACCAAGCCATCACATCGTAACAGATCCTATCCCTTCAACTGCTTTGAACCCTTGCCGCGCCTACACCCCCTTTCTTCGCACTCTTCCTGTCTGCTCACTCCCTCCCCTCACCCTCTCACCCCCCCAGCCCAGCCCACCTCGATCCCCTCGCCCACCTCACTTTCTAACAGCTCTCACTCCCTTCACACGCCTCGCCCCACACCCCTCTACCCCTCTACCCCTCTACCCCTCTCCCCCCTTTCACCCCTTTCCCCCCTCTTTGCTCTCTCCCCCCCCCTCACATCCCTCCCCCTCCTCTCCCTCCTTCTAACCCTCCTTCACGCCACCCTCCTTACTAACCTGTACCCCCATCCCATCCTTCCCTCCACCACTCCCACCGAGCTCTGGACGTCGGCCAAGCCTGACGTCTCCTCCCTCCGTGTGTGGGGCTCCAGGGCGTATGTCCTCATTCACCCTGCGGACCGCCCCCGCACCATGGGAAAGCTCGCCTCCCGTACCCTCCCCTGCATCTTCCTTGGTCATAACCCCTCCTCCCCGGACTACCTCTTCCTTCACCCCCCCTCAGGTCGCTTCCTCCACAGTCGGGATGTGGTCTTTGATGAGTCCACACCCTACTATTCCACTCCTCCCCCCACTGACCCTCTTGCCCCTTCTCCCCAGCCCCTCACTTGGTCCGACACTATCCCATCCCCTCTTCTCCCTCCCCCTCCCATCCTCCCCCCCGCTCCACCTCCGTCACTCCCGCTGCCTCGGTCCCAAGCGCTCCCCCCTCCTCTGGTGACATATTTGACCCTGACCCTCTCTTTCCCCCCGCCTCCCATCGCACTCCTCCCTTCCGCTCCCTCCCATCCTCCCCCCTCCCCTCCTCCCCCCTCTCCCCCGCGTCCCCTCCCCCCTGCGCCCCACCCGCTCCATCCTCACCCGGTATCCCCACATCAGGTCACGTGACACAGTCCTAGGTGCCCCGCCTCCTGTTACCCTCTCTTCCTCTACCTTGCCTCCTCTCTCCCCTCTCATGGACCTCCTCTTTCAGGCTGTCTTACAACAAAACACTAGCCCAACCCTGCCGTCGAGCTCCATTACAGCAGTCCCAGCAGCAGCAGCAGCAGCAGCAGTAGCAGACCTACCCACCGCAGCAGCACCAGCAGCAGCAGCTGTCGCTCCTTCCTCACCTTCACCCGCAGCAACAACAGCGGCAGCAGCAGATGCAGTAGTAGCAGCCGCCTCAGCAGCAGCAACAGCAGAGGCATCCTCCACAGCAGCAGCACCAACAGCAGCAGTCCTCCTGTTCATTTTCCAATCCTCCCTCCTCGAGGACTCCCATGAGGAGTTCCTCAACCTCCACCTGCATGATCCAGTCCTTCTACCCATCTCCCCTGACCTCAGCAGCACACCAGTCTTCGCCTTCTCCTCCGCCCCCACCATCTTCGTCCCCGCCACGTACGAGGAGGCCATGGCGTGCTCTGACGTCCACCTCTGGCTCGCGGCCATCCTGAAGGAATTGGAGGCGTTTATTGCCGACTCCTCCTTTGTGGATGTGCTCCGCCCTCCTCCACCACGAACGTGGTAAAAAGGAAGTGGGTGTTTCGGGTGAAGCAGCTGCCTGGCGAGCTGCCCGGTCTACAAGACCTGCTACGTCGCCAAGGGCTTCACCGTCGACTTCTTCGACACCTTCTCTCCCACCTCCAAGCCGCTACCTTCCGCGCAGTGCTTGACCTCGCCGCTCGCCTCAACATGGAGATTCACTCCATGGACGTCTCCAACGCATTCCTCCAGGGCGTCTTGCGCGAGCTCATTTACATGGAGCGTCCTGCAGGCTTCCACCTCCCCTTTCCTTCCGACTCTATCTGGCAGCTGCGTCGGCCAGTCTACGGGCTCAAGCAAGCACCAAGGGAGTGGCATGCCAAGCTTGCTGCCACCCTCGCCAAGCTGGGCTTCAGCACCTCTCGCGCCAAACCCGGCCTCTTCCTCCGCACCTCCCCTCCCCCTTCTACATCCTCGTATATGTCGAAGATATGATCCTCATCACTGCTGACTCCGCCGAGCTCGAGCGCGTCAAGCGTGAGCTTGGCAGCCGGCTCAAGTGTAAAGATATTGGGGAGCTGCAACACTATCTCAACATGGAGATTACACGCGACCGTGCTGCTCGCACCATCTCCCTCTCCCAGGGCCACTACCTGCAGCAGGTCCTGGAGCGGTTCGACATGGCTCGAGGCACCTCTCAGGTCACCCCTCTTCCTATTGGGCACCACCTCACTCCCCTCACCTCCCCCTCCTCCTCCCAGCCCTACGCTGAGCTCATCGGCTCTCTCATCTATGCCATGGTCTCCACCCGCCCTGACCTGGCACACCCCATCAGCATATTGGCCCGCTTCGTTGGTACCGGCAAGCATGATGCCGCCCACTGGCAAGCGGCCAAGCGTGTCCTCCGCTACCTTCGGGGGACCAAGGACTGCGTCCTTACCCTTGGCGGCCCCTCCCCTCCCCTCCTCACTGGCCACTCTGATTCCTCCTGGGCTGACTCTAGGCCTGATCGCCGCTCCTCTTAGGGCTATGGCTTCTCCCTAGGCAGCGGCCTCATCAGCTAGCGCTCCACCCGCTCTTCCTCCATTGCCCTCTCCTCCTGCAAAGCAGAGCTGTATGCCGCTACCATGGCTGCGCAGGAGGCTCGCTGGCTCACATTCCTTCTTGAGGAGCTTGGGGGCCCCTCAGCGCTGTCCCATCATCTGGTGCGACAACACCAGCACCATCCACCTCACGAAGGATGCTGTGTTCCACCGGGCGCTCCAAGCACGTTGAGCTTCGCCACTACTTCATTCGCGAGTTTGTGCAGGGTGGCCACCTCCAGCTGTGCAAGATTGACTCTGCCGCCAATCTTGCCGACATCTTTACCAAAGCCCTCCCCCACACCGTCCACTCATCCCTCCTTCGCCTTCTTGGCCTCGCTCCCCCCGTTCCTCGTCCGCCTCTTGATTCAAGACATCTAGTCTTATGCATCTTGGGGGGTTGTGTTGTAAATATATATCTATACAGCATACATGCCTAGATTAGGAGGTGTACTCATAATAATTATTAGGGGGTTGTTGGTTGGGTTGACCAACCCCACATTTGGGTTGGTGAAGATTGGATTTGGTCCTAAACATTTGGTTGGCACAATTCCAACCAAATGGTCCTTGGTCCTAAGAACCAACCTATCACCAAGCACCACACTTTGTGGTTGCTTGCCTTCCAAGCAACCTCTCCCATTGGACCACATTGTGGCCAATCGGAGAGCACCACACTTTGTGGTTGCTTGCCCTACAAGCAACCTCTCGCATTGGTCCACTTTATGGCCAACAGGAGAGCTTCCCTTCCAACTCTTCCTTGCTCCTTGTTTTGTACAATAGAGCCTCCTGACTCCTTACTCGATTCAATCTTTTCTCCTCAAAAGCTAGTTCCTTCACAATCACCCCTCCCCTCTCTCCCCTCTCATGCCTCTCCCCACTCTCCCCTCTCCCCCCTCTCCCCCCTCTGTCACCACTCCCCTCTCCCCCCCGTCTCACCCCTCCCCTCTCCCCCTCTAACCCCACTCACCACTCTCACCCCCTCTCAAGCACGCTTCCCCCTCCCACCCCTCTCCCCCCTCCCACACGTCTAACCCTTCTCACCCCCTCTTACCCCCTCACCCCTCCCCTCGCCCCCCTCTCACCTGGCGGCGCACGGCTCGGTCGCAGAGGGCCTGTTTGGGCAGCAGCAGCACGTGCGCCAGCTCCCTGAGCAGCGGGAAGCAGTCCGCGCGCGCTCCTATCAGCTGCTGCAACCACCCTCTGCCGCCCTCGCCTGCCCTCACCCGCCCTCCCAGCAGCAGCAGCGCAGCAGGGTCATGCGTGTGAGCCGTGTGTCCGTCCCAAGCAGCAGGAAGCGCCGTTGCCCCTCCCATGGCCTCACCGCCTGCAGCTGCTTTGCGCCTCTCGCCCTGTCCCACCACTCCCCTTCTCCCATCCCGCTTCCCAGCGTCCCTCTGGCTGTCCACACCCTCTGGCCAATCAAAGAGCTCCAGCTGGCCGGCCCAGAAGCGTGCAGAGGACAGCAGGGAGGCGGGGACTGTGGGCGGGGGGTGGATGGACAGCGGGGCGTGGCTGGTGGGGGCTTGGGCATGGGCAGCAGCACGGCAGTGCGAGTCGACATGCGTGTCCATGTCTGCAAGGAAGTCATTCCACTCAGATAGCTGGCGCGGGGAGAGAGGACAGAGAGGGATCGCAGGGAGACAAAAGGACAGGGAGGCATTGAGGCTACACGTGCATTGGCTAGTGGAATGGGTTTGGAAAAGGGAGGCCATACGCATGCAGGCAGAGGCGCGGCACGAAATGGGAAAGACAAAGCGAAGAACACCAAACCATCTCCTTCGCCCCCCTCCTACGCTTGCACACGTCCCACGGGTACTCTTTCACACACCATCCCCCTTACAGTGGGTTTCAGCAAACCCCCTTACAGCATGCTTCAGCAATCGCCCTTGCAGAGTGTTTCAGCAATCCCCCTTACAGTGTGTTTCAGCATTCTCCCTAACAGTGTTTTCAGCAATCCCCCTTACAGTGTGTTTCAGCATTCCCCCTTACAGTGTTTTTCAGCAATCCCCCTTACATTGTGTTTCAGCAAACCCCCTTACAGTGTGTTTCAACAATCCCCCTTACAGTGTTTTTCAGCAATCGCCCTTACAGAGTGTATCAGCAATCCCCCTTACAGTGTGTTTCAGTATTCCCCCTTACAGAGTGTTTCAACAATCCCCCTTACAGTGTGTTTCAAGAATTCACCTTACAGTGTGTTTCAGCAATCCCCCTTACAGTGTGTTCCAGCAATCCCCCTTACAGTAGACATGGGCAACATGCGATTGCGATTTGAATCGCATAGCGCTGGGGTGCGATTTAATTAAAAGCGATGCGATTCAAAATCGCATCGTGCGATTTAATTTCTGAAAATAAAAAATCGCACATCGCGTTCAGCGCGTGATGTAGTTTTAAACCGCATGCGATTATTAATTAAATCGCGCAATGCGATTTTAAATCGCATCGTGGTCTAAGACCGAAAGAAGATCAACCCCCCCCCCCCCCCAAAAAAAAAAAAAAAAAAAAAAAAAAAACGCCGGGAAATTGAAGCACGGGCAGCCGTAAGCTAGTGTGTAAATAAATAGTGTGGTTTCATAGTGGGTTTCACACAGGTACGAGCCCTCGTGGTATTTGAACATCGCGCGCAACTTCAAAAAAATCGCAAATCGCATTTGAATTAAATGCGATTTAAATGCGCTATAAACAATTCACCGCATCGCGCGATGAATAAAAAAAATATAAATGCTTTTTTTTTTATTGCAATCGCAAAAACGCGATTAAACGCGATGCGATGCGAATATTCTTGCCCATGCCTACCTTGCAGTGTGCTTCAGCATTCCCCCTTACAGAGTGTTTCAACAATCCCCCTTACAGTGTGTTTCAGCAATCCCCCTTACAGTGTGTTTCAGCAATCCCAATTAGTCTGTTTCAGCAATCCCCCTTACAATGTGTTTCAGCAATCCCCCTTACAGTGTGTTTCAGCAATCCCCTAGTGTGTTTCATCAATCCCCCTTACAGAGTGTTTCAGCAATCTCCCTTACAGTGTGTTTCAGCAGCCCCCCGTCGGAGGCCCGGAAGCGGCCATTGGCAGGGAAGGGCAGGGCGCTAGGTTCGGTGAGAGGGTCGGCAGCAGGGTCGGTGGAGAGGACGTCGTTGGCGGAGCGCAGCAGCGCGTTGAAGAGCGCCGCGTCCAGGCGGCGCAGGGCGTGCTGCAGCACCTGCGGCCGGGGGGGAAGGGGGGTGAGGGGGGTCGGGGTGGGGAGAAAGGGGTGAAGGGAAAGGGGCTGAGGGGGGGCGGGGTGAGGTGAAAGGGGATGAGGAGAAAGGGGGTGAGGGGAAACGGGGGAGGGGAAAGGGGGTGAGGGGAAACGGGGGGAGGGGAAAGGGGGTGAGGGGAAACGGGGGGAGGGGAAAGGGGGTGAGGGGAAACGGGGGGAGGGGAAAGGGGGTGAGGGGAAACGGGGGGAGGGGAAAGGGGGTGAGGGGAAACGGGGGGAGGGGAAAGGGGGTGAGGGGAAACGGGGGGAGGGGAAAGGGGGTGAGGGGAAAGGGGGTGAGGGGAAAGGGGGGCAGGGGAAAGGGGGTGAATTGGTGCTGTGGATGTGGTGCAAGGCGAGGAGGTGAGTGTGGATGGTGCAGCACACAAGAGCACACAAGAGCACACAAGCCCGACACCATGACAGGAAGAGCGAAAGGTGCGAGGGTACCTGCTTGAAGAGCGGGTAGAGGCAGCACTCACCTGCTTGAAGAGCGGGTAGAGGCAGCACTCACCTGCTTGAAGAGCGGGTAGAGGCAGCACTCACCTGCTTGAAGAGTGGGTAGATGCAGCACTCACCTGCTTGAAGAGTGGGTAGAGGCAGAACTCACCTGCTTGAAGAGCGGGTAGAGGCAGCACTCACCTGCTTGAAGAGCGGGTAGAGGCAGCACTCACCTGCTTGAAGAGCGGGTAGAGGCAGCACTCACCTGCTTGAAGAGTGGGTAGATGCAGCACTCACCTGCTTGAAGAGTGGGTAGAGGCAGAACTCACCTGCTTGAAGAGCGGGTAGAGGCAGCACTCACCTGCTTGAAGAGTGGGTAGAGGCAGCACTCACCTGCTTGAAGAGCGGGTAGAGGCAGCACTCACCTGCTTGAAGAGCGGGTAGAGGCAACACTCACCTGCTTGAAGAGCGGGTAGAGGCAGCATTTACCTGCTTGAAAAGTGGGTAGAGGCAGCCGCAGTGGTGCCCCATGGCCCTGTGCGGGCACAGCATGGCAGCCGCATCATGCAGCACCGCCACCCACCGCTCTGCACCGCTCAAACCAGCCCACCAGGGCGCCTGCGCTTCTTCCGCTGCATGGAGGGAATGAGGGGGCGTGGGAGGAAGGGGGGGGGGGGGGGAAGGTTTGGGGGTGATACAAGAGGGTGAGCGGGTGATAGGGGCGGGGCAAATCGACACAAGAGTGAGAGTGCGACAAGAGGGTGAATTACCTTTGAGAGGGGGAGGAGGGGGCGTGGCGGCGGAGAAGGGCCAGAGGGGCTGGTGGGAGGAGAGGGAGGAGCAGTGGAAGGCGGAGGACCAGGCGGGGGTGAAGGGAGGCGGCTGAGACGGAGGTAGGAAGGCAGGGGGAAGCACGGGAGGGCGCTGCTGCATGGCTGGCAGGAAGACACGTGTCCACACGAGGTGAAGACACGTATCATGCTGCCATTGCTCCAGCCTCAGCAGTTGAGCCTGCAGGTAGGGCAAGCTGCACCAGGGGTCGTCCCCGCTGCTGCCATCTGCTGTGCCATCCGCTGTGCCATCACAGCATTCTCCATCACCACCACCACCACCACCACCACCACCACCACCACCACCACCACCATCATCATCATCATCAGCAGCAGCACCACCACTCAGGCCTTTGGCCCCGTTCTCCCCTCCTTCACCTACGTTTCCCCCCCTCCCCTTCCCTCCCTCGCCTCCTTCCCCCCTCTGCCCCCCCCCCTGCAGTGCTGCCAGCGCCTCGCGCAGCATGGCGGTGTTGGACCACCAGAAGAGCACGCAACTCGCGTCGCTGCCCGCCGCGCGGGCCGCCAGCAGCAGAGCGCGCATCACCTCCCTTGCCACACCCGCCACCTGCTGCCCTCCACCCCAATGCACCCTGCCGTGCATGCCTCCCTGTCCCCTCTCCTCTCCCTCCCCTTCTCCCTCTGCACAACCCCCCATTCCACCCAACCACCAATCCTCCTCCTCAACCTCGCCCCCCTCCCCCCCTCCTCCTCTCCAGGCGGCCAGCACCACGCGCGCCAGGCGCCGGGCGGGGGCGTGCATGTGCTGCACGGACTGGCCATGGCGCCCCGCCGCGCCCTGCACCACCTCCGCCACGCCACTGGCGCTGCGCACCTCCCTCGGCATCCCCCCGAACCTACTCTGCGCTGCTTGCGCCCACTCCTCCGCCTCGGCAGCCCGAGCCAGGGCACCAGGCACGGCAGCGCGGTCCTGCGTCAGCTGGTGCTGGCGGGCTGCGAGGTGCAGGGAGGCGGTGTGCAGCGCCTGCTGGAGGGCCTGCGTGTGCGCGCACAGGCCGGCAACCGCGGCGCCCGTTGCCGCGATTTGCGCTCGCACAGCTGTGGTAGCGGCGTCCTGCGCTGCCATGCGCTGCACCAACGCGGCGCGCTGCGCTTCAAACGGGGACAGGCGGCGCTGGTCCGCCGCTGCCTGGTGGGTGGCAAACAAGAGCACGAGAGGGGTTACCAACTAGGCAAAATGACTCCACAAAAGAGAAAGGGCTCAGGGATATGCTTGTCAAGTTGTCATTTTCAGCGGAGTATTCTCACCCATGCCCAATCTTACTACATATGCATATGCTTTCCTACTAACTCTAACAGATACTACAATCAGACTAGTAGCTGTTATAAGGCTGATCTCTCACTGCGCGCCAATTTGAGAATACTGGAGAGCAGCCTCCACATGGTGGTCACAGCGCGCCTCACCTTTCGTTTCTCCTCGTCCAGCCGCCTTTGCTCGCCCACTGCCCACTGTGTGAAGCGCTCCACCTCGTCCCTCACACGCTGCGCCTCGCGCCGCTCGTCCTCCACCAGCTGCCGCTCCTTCCTCACCGCCCGCCACTCCACCCGCAGCCGCACTGCCTCCGAACCCCCCCCCTCGCCCCCGCCCTCCGCCCACTCCTTCCCCAACGCATCGTCTTCCCCACCATCCCTCCCTCTCTCCCCTTCATCCCCCCCCTCACAATCACTGCCCACCTCCCCTCCCCCCACCCCCTCCTTCTCCACCACCTCTCGCGCCACGGCCAGCACACTGAAGCGCCTCCTCCTCCCTCCCCCACCCGCCCCTGCCCCCTGCGGCCTGGGCGTAGCCCCCACCCCCAGCAGCGCGTCGTCCACGCCCTCCACCTCGTCGTACCGCCCCGAGCTGTACGGCCCCGGCACGCGCCGCAGCGCCGCCAGCACCTCGCGCGCGCTCACGGCCGACTGGGAGCCCGCCCCGCCTGCCGGCAGTGCACCCGTGCGCCCCGCCTGCCCGCCCATGGGCGGCAGCAGGCCCCGGTGCCCCGCTGACGTGAACGCCCGCACGCCCCTCCCCCCGAGTGCACCTCCTCCCCTCTCACCGCCGCCAGCAGCAGCCGTGGCCTGCCAGTCTGGCGGCAGCATGAAGGGGCGCCGCGCACACGCAAAGCCCAGCGCGCGCGCAGAAGGCGGCTGAGAGGGCGAGCGCGGTGCAGAGAAGGTGCCGGAGGAGGAGGGAGGGAGGTTGGGGAAGGGCAGTGAATGAGCGGTTGGTGGGCGAGGGGTGCGCGGGTCAGAGAGCGAACGGTGGAGGGCATGGGGGGAGGCGGGGTGGTGGAGTGTGGCTGGGAATGAAGCTGAGGCAGAGGAGGGCGAGGCGGCGGCGGAGCCAGGGAACGAGGCGGAGGCAGCAGCCCTTGCAGCCCCTCCTCCTGCTGCACCTGCTGCCAGCCCCTCTCCCCGCTCACTCCCTGCATCGCCCTGCATGGCCACATCAATGCACCCCTCCATGCGCACGGCCATGGCCGCCTGCCCCCCTGCAGCCGGCGCCAGCAGCACCTTCAGCTTGCTCCTCAGCTCCGCCACTGCTGCTGCCTGCTGGGCGCCACGTGGCGCATGCTCATTGGACAGAGAGGCAGGGGATCCTGCTGACATGGCAGGGGACCCTGCAGACGTGACAGGAGAGCCAGCTGACAAGGCAGGGGAGGCGGAGGAGAGGGCAGAGGGCGCTACGTGCAGAAGAGGCCGAGGGAAGGAGGAGGGGGCGTGTGGGTGGTGAGGAAGTGCAGTGCGGTGAATCATGTGAGGGCCCGTGGCCAGAGGAGGCACGGCGCCTGTAGGTGCTCCCCCTGATGCACGCAGCCCTGCTGACACCTGCTCTGCCCGCCCTCCCATGGCCCCACCCCCCCCCTGTGCCCGCTGCTGCTCGTACGCCGCACACAGGTCCACTGGTGCCGGGCTGCACTGCGCCTGGCCGGGCAGCACGTGCTCTTGGGCGGGCAGCGTGGGCGCACCATCGGACCCACACCTGGGAACGGCACCAGCAGCACTGGCGGGTGTGGTGGCCATGCTGCCAGTGGTGGCAGAGCGCGTGTGCATGCCGTCGAGGGCCATGGCATGTCCGCAATGGGTGGCTGTGCTGCCATGGCGGCCAATGACCAAGGTGCTGCTGCTGCCGCGTCTTGTGCCTCCCTCGAACTCTCCCTTCTCTGCTCCTCCGCTCCCCTCTCTTGTGCCGCACTGGCACGAGCAGCAGCAGGGGAGGCGGAAGGGTGGAGCAGAGTGGCCAGGGCGGCAGCAGCCACGGGGTTGAGGGGTGGGGAGGAGGAGGAGAGGGGAGAGCGGTACAGAGCGGTGGAGGACTCAGGCGACCCCTCTGTGTGCGTGGGGACGAGCCTGAGGGCGGCGAGCTCCAAAGTTCTCTCGCCCCCCGCCAGGGCGACCTCGCCCCCCGCCAGGGCGACCTCGCCCCCCGCCAGGGCGACCTCGCCCCCCGCCAGGGCGACCTCGCCCCCCGCCAGGGCGACCTCGCCCCCCGCCAGGGCGACCTCGCCCCCCGCCAGGGCGACCTCGCCCCCCGCCAGGGCGAGCACGCGAGCTCGAGGGAGCACCATTTCGCCCCCCGCCAGGGAGTGCGCGCGGCGGCCGCGAGCACTCTTGCGCGCCCTCTGTGGGGTGTGTGGTGGATGGGGGGGAGAGGAGGAGAGGCAGGGTGAGAACTTGGTGAGAGAGAGGAGAAGGGTGGGACGCAGGGCGCAAGGGGGGTGATGAGAGGGGAGAGAGGGGCATGCAGAGAGCAAGCACGCATGGCATGGGGGGAGCACATCCGTACAACATGCCAAAGAGTCACGGCTTATCTCAATCGCCATCATCAGATGCCACCACCAATCTGTGCCCCCCCTACCCCGCCCCTCTTCTCCCCACCCACACTGCCATGGCCCTCCTTGCGCGTCCTCCGCGCCACTCAGTACTCACCAGCAGGTCCCGGTGCGAGGGCACGCGCGAGGCAGGAGGGGAGGTGGCCGCAGAAGCAGAAGCAGGGGCAGGGGCAGGAGGTGGAGGGGCAGGGGCAGGGGCGGTGGGGAAAGAGGCAGTGGCACTACGGGGAGGCAAGGTTGCAGTGGGAGGAAGGGTGGAGGGGGAGAGGCTGGAGGGTGGGGAGGTGCCTGGGGTGGAGCGTGGCACTGTGACGGCCGCGCTGTCTCCTGGCCTGGGTATGGCCGCAACGCCCCATGCTGCTACACTGCCGGCAGCAGGAGCAGCACACACAGGCACGGGCGTGGGAGCATGTGGTTGCGTGGGTGTGCCTGGTTGCACGGGCATGGGCGTGCATAGCTGAGCCGACACGGGGTTGAGAGCAGGTGGGTGTGCGAGGGCATGGGCCGGCGCCACGCTGCTGTTGTGGTCCAGGTCGCCGCCTCGCCCTGCCACGCGGTACAGCTCTGCCAGCGACGTGGCCCGCACCGCCCTCGCTGGCAGCGCCACCTGCCCCACCTGCTGCTCCGCCGCATCATCATCACTCGCTGCCCCATCCGGCCCGCTGCCTGCCTGTGCGCCGTGTGGTGCGGGCGCCAGGCGCCGGTGCTGCAGCTCCGCCTCTATCTGCCGCATGCCTCGTGCCCTCCCCTTGCCGCCACCCGCCCTCTCCCTCCCACTTCCACTCCGCTCCCTCCAACTCCCTGCCCGCCTCCTCGCCTCTCCCATGTCCCCACCGCCCTCTCTGCCCCCCACTGCGCCACCATCATCACCAGCACCACCAGCAGCAGCAGCAGGTGGGTCTGGGAAGGCGGCCCGTGAGCGTCAGCTGCAGGGCTTGGCGCTGGCAGGAGGGGAAGTGCAGGGGCGACAGCAGGGGGAGCAGGGGCGGGAGAGGAGGCAGAGAGAGCACCGGTGGCGGGAGGTGAAGCAAGTGGGGGAGGGCAAAGGGGCTGGTGGCAATGGGGGTGGTGGCAAGGGGGGTGGTGGCGGCAGTGGGAGGGAGGGAGGAGGGGGGCACGGCGAGAGGTGGCTTGGCATCGCGTGTGAACCGGGAGACGGCGGGGCGGCCAGGCACCTCCACTGCCGATACACCGCCGCCCCTCTTGCTCAACCCACTACTGCTCCTGCTGCAACCGGCGCTGCTGGTGGTGCTGCTGCCGCTGTGGCTGCTGTCCCCGCTGCCACTGCCAGCGTCGCCTGCAGCAGTGGCAGCGGCGGAGGGTGGCGCCAGGCGAGCATGCATGGCGGTGAACTCCTGGCCGCCGTATGAGTGCGAGCGACGCGTCGCCTTGCGACGGGCCTTCTGCGAAAGGAGGGTGGGCGGAAGAGAGTGACGGGGGAAGAATAAGCGCAGAGAAGTGAGGAGCGGGCAAGAAAGAAGTGAGAGGAGAGGGCAGGGCATACTGAGAGCGAGCACGGCACGAATTGGGGCTGGGAGAGGAGTGGCAGTGTGGCGTGAGGCAGGAGGCACACGGGGACTAACCAGTGCTGCAAACGAGGGAGCACCAAGCGGCTTGTTGCTGGCTGTGTGTGCTTCAAGCACCATGGGAGCACCGGCAGCGAGAGCCGCGGCATCAACAGCATCAGGAGCAGCAGCAGCCATGCTAGAGTCAGCAGCTCCACTGCTGCCCGCCTTCCCTCCCCCTCCTCCCCCGCCAACCAATCCCCCCTCTCCTGCCTCACCCACCTCCCCCCCAGCCTCCACCTCCCCCCACAGCTCGCTCACTCTTAGCCTGGCCCCACCTGCGCCTCCCTCGCCTCCCTCCCCACCCGCCCCTCCCTCCCTTGCCCCCTCTGGCACCTCCACCCGTTCACTGGCAGAGGGGCTGCCAGAGGGAGCGTGAGATGGGGCGGGAGGAGGGGCCATGGGGAGTGGGGCATCAGGGAGAGGGGACTGGGAGGCACGGGTACTTGAACCCGGGATGGGGCCTTGTGGCTGCGGCTCTGGCTGCGGCTGCTGCTGCGGTGGGGCTGCTGCGAGGGCGTGGCGCGCGTCCAGGGCGTGGAAGGCGGCGAGCTCAGCGCCGCCGTACGACTGCGAGCGGCGAGAGGGCCTCCTGCGCGGCTCGAGAGAGGGGGCTGGCTGGAGGGGTGGGGGGAGAGGGAGGAGAGGGGGAGGGAGTAGGGGATGAAGGCAAGCGAGGAGTGAGAGGGCAGGGCTGCGAATGCCAGATGGGGTGGACGAAGGTGGGAAGGAGGTGGAGGAAGGTCGCTAGGTTCGTGTGAATAAGAGGGGACGACGTGAGAGGAGGGGGGAGGGCGATGGACAATAGGAGAGAATAGGTGGGGAGGGGAGGAACGAAAGGAGCAGCAAATAAGAGGACAAGGAAAGAGGAGGAGGAGGCGAGCGGTGCGCACCTTTGTTGAGAGCCCAAGGCGAGAGGTGTGTACCTTTGTTGCGGGCCCAAGGCGAGCAGCAGCCAGGCGAAATGCACGAGTGGCCGACATTGAGGTGGCAGGAGGAGTGGATGCTGATGAGGGGGCGGCGGCTGCTGCTGCTGCTGCTGGCGACTCTACAGGCGACGGAGATGGTGATGGTGACGCCATGCATGCTGCTGCAGATGCTGACGAGGCAGATGCTGATGTGGACGTGGAAGCTGATGTGGAAGCAGATGTTGACGTGGAGGCAGAAGTTGCTGACGAGACTGAGGAGGAGCGAGAGGGTGCAGGGGAAGCAGAGGTCGATGCAGAATGGAAGGGAGGCAGTGATGAGGTGGATGAGGAAGATGCTGACGTGGAAGATGTTGCAAGCGTGGCAGGGGACTTCGACCTGGCAGGCTTTCGTCCAGGAGGGCCCTTGCCATCCCTGGCCACGTCACTGCCTCCCCCATCAGCTATCCGCCCCTCGTCCCTTTCTCCAGCATCTCCCCCCCCCCTGCCACCCCCCTCTGCCCATCGCCTGCACCAGTCCTGCCATCCCTGCCGCCGTGCCTCTGCTGCGCACGCCTGCTCATCTCACCACCGCTCTGCACACCTGCGCCCTCTGCTGCCGCGCGAGCTGCTTCTGCCTCTGCTCGGCGTGCATCCCCTCCGCCTCTCTCTGCCGCGCCTTGCCCCCGCACTTGGGCCTCCTGCGCCTGCGCCTGCCCCTGCCCCTGCCTGTCCCCCTGCAGCTGCCCCTGCAAGGCCGTGAAGTCGCAGTCGCCCAGGGACGACCCTGCGCTCGCGCTGCCGCCAGGTGCTGGCAGGTCGGGCGACGCGCACAGGGAGGGCGGGGGGGAGGTGCGGTGGTGCGAGAGGGAGGGGGAGGTTTGCAGGGCGTGCGAGGGCAGCACGGGCGAGGAGGCGTTGCGGCGGTGGCCGTGGGGGGCTGCGAGGCTGGCGGGCGGGAGGGAAGGGGAGGATGGGAGACACGGGAAGCACGGAAGGCGAGAGCGGCACTTGGACGGGTGAAAGGGCGCGCCATGGGGAATCATGCAAGTGTGAACATAGCACCAGGTTTTGCACCCCTAGCGGGCCCACCCCTAGCCATGAGGCCAGCCCTAGATCGGATGAAGACACGGAAGTGCACCCTAGGCAGCACCCAAGTCAGCACCTTGGTGAGCACTTAACCCATACCGCGCATGCAAGCAAATCCGTATCTCCGATGCCCGTTGCCCGCCTATGCTTCTCGCTACCACGTCCCCCCCCCCACCCCAACCCGCCCTTCTCATCACACACACGCTCTACTGATCTCGCTCCATCCCTCTCTCTCTGCCTGCCTTCTCTCCGCACCTGACCTCTCTCTCTCACTCATCTCAATCTTCCTCGTCCCATCGCATCCACAACCTCTCTCCAGCGCTGCCTCTCGCTCCCAATGCCACCACTCCGCTCTCAAGTCCACCCAAGAGCAACTCCCACCCCCCCCCCTCTCCTGGCGCCCCTGCGTACCGCTGGGCCTCCTCTGCAGCCGCCTCGCGGCTGAGCGTCTTGCCCACGCACTCCACGCTCACGCGCAGCACCACCCCCGTCGGCCTGTCAGCAGCCGCCACGTCAGCAAGCATGGCGGGCCCCGGCGCCACCTTGAGGCGGCGCTCCACCGCCCCGTCGCAGTCCGCCAGCTCAGCCAGGTCTAGCTGCGCTCGCCCCAGAGGCTCGGGCCGAGCCTGAAAGGCAGGTTCGGTTGGTGCATGTGTTTGTTGGGAATGAGCGGCGGGCAGCGCGTGGTGCAGGGTGAAGGTGGCGGCCTTGCGCAGGTAGGGCGCGGAGGGCGCGCCCCGCTCGCGGTACAGCGTCACAGGGATCTGAGGGTGGGGGGCGCAGGATGAGGGCGGGAGGAATGATGGGAAGGTAGGAGAGGGGGTGCGCCGGGATTGTGTAGGTGGATGGAGGATGACGCGAGGGGCAAGCGGTGGGGGCCAAGGTGTGAGTGCGAGGAGGGGCAGGAGGGGCGGCATTCTGACGCCACACAAGCGGCATGAGAGCCCCGGCACCAGCCGCTCATTCACCCACCGCAACCTAACCTACCCAACCGCCCCACCGCCATCCCACCATCACCCCCCTCGCACCCCCCACGCCCCCCACAAAGCGCGCAGCGTGCACTCACAGCGTACCCGGAACGTCTGGTTGAGCGCCACGTGGCTGAGGGTGGCGTCGGGGGGCGGCGCGATGGGCGCGGAGAGGCCGGCCCTGCTGTCGCCGCGCTGCCAGCGGATGATGAGCGGCGGGGACTGGCGCAGCCACGGGCGCAGCTGGGGGAAGGGGGGCGGAAGAGGGGGGAGAGGCAGCGGCGAGGTGAAGGAAGAAGGTGGGAAGGGAACGGTGGAGAGGGAGGTTGCGGCGACCCATGGCAGTGGCGGCAGACGTGCTATGGGAAGCAGGATGGGGGAAGCGGGATGGGGGAGCGGGATGGGGGGAGCGGGATGGGGGGAGCGGGATGGGGGGAGCGGGATGGGGGGAGCGGGATGGGGGGAGCGGGATGGGGGGAGCGGGATGGGGGGAGCGGGATGGGGGAGCGGGCTGGGAACGGGGCTGACCTCGAGGAGGCGGACGCGGAACTCGAAGCGCACGGCGACGAGGTTCGCCTGCTCCATCCTGCCCGACCCCGCCGACGCCAGCTTCTTCCTGCCGGCCGACGCCATCTCGACTGCCGGTCGTTGACGACTAACGGCTCAGTTCCCGGTCAACCGGCAGCTCAGCTGCAACGACAGGTGGTTCTTTTGGCGCGGAAACGCGAGGCCCAACGCAGCGACGCGCACGTTTGAGGGCGGAGATGCGCGAGTGAGCGGAGATGCGCGAGTGAACGGAGATGCGCGAGTGGGCGGAGATGCGCGAGTGGGGGGCAGAGCGAGCGGTGCGCGGCGAGGCACGAGCAGCATGGCGGCAATGCTGGACATTCAAGTGGCACACGCGCAAGCGAGGGGGTAAAGAATCCACTGGTATGCGCGTCCTTGCAGGGGGGAGCGTTCTCTGGAGGGCGCAGGGTTGACTACAGTCGGCCTCCACGGACGGTGATGCGCGATGGCTGCCCGCTCAGGTCTGCTGGTCAGCCATGCACGCGAGGCAATGGGAGCGAGGCATGAGCCACTCAACGCGGGTGGGTGTTTCAATCGCCACTGGTAGCCACGAGGATCAGCCGCACTATGAGCTATGAGAATAGGGTCGCGACATTAGCGCGCGAGGCATCGCAATGTGAGCAGCGGCGGAGTGCACTCGAGGACGTGCCTCGCATCACAGCTCCCCGCCTCACACGGCTCTGACGCGTGCAGCGGACGCAGGGTGGCGGGGGAAGAGGCGAGGTGCCTATGGCCGCCATGAGCCAACTCCACGTGCTGGCGAGGCGACAAGGCAAATAAAGGCGGACTCGTTGCGAGACACAATGCCGGAGAAATTGTACGTATATGGTATTCCCATCAATCATATGTATTCATATTCCAGATGCTATCCTTCACGTGATATAATACTATGTATAAGAGAATCTGAGAATCTGAGGTTTCCTTCCTGACGCGGCTCAAGCATAAGCTGCAACGGCCTGGTCGAAGGCAGCTTCCGACGTTATTTGGCGTTGCGCTAGAATGTGATCCGGCGCCACCGCCCTCAACTGGCTGCACACGCACACACAACGCACGTTAGTCACACTCACACCATGCATGCCACGTACACAGCAGCAGCAGCAGCGGCAGCAGCAGCAGCAGCAGTAGCAGCAGCAGCAGCAGCAGCAGCAGCAGGCCGCACTCACTTGAGGTAGCGCGTGGCGGGCTTGCCTCTGTGCAGCGAGCAGACGACGAGGTTGGCGAGAGTGTTGGCATCCTTGGCGTCCTGCACGCACCACGCAACGCGTCCACAACACCATGCCCCGTCACCATGCGCGCCCATCCTTCTCACAATAAGCAAATCGAATGCGACAAACCTGAATCCATGAGTCCACATCCCACCTTGTTGAGGGCGTCTAGCAGCAGCGCCTCGGCGTCGTCGAAGTTGCCTTGGTGCATCTGGGAGAGCGCGCTGCCGTTGAGCAGCGCCACGGTGGGGGTGAACTTGTCCGCCAGCTCCTGGAAGATGTACGTCGCCTCCACCACCTTGGCCCCGCCCTGCACGCCCACAACGCCGTTCCCACCAGCAGCGCACTCCACGGCCATGAGATTCAGCAGAGCCTTTGATGCCATGGGATGCACCAGAGCCTTCGATGCCATGGGATGCACCAGTGCCTTCGATGCCATGGGATGCACCAGTGCCTTCGATGCCATGGGATGCACCAGAGCCTTCGATGCCATGGGATGCACCAGTGCCTTCGATGCCATGGGATGCACCAGTGCCTTTGATGCCATGGGATGCACCAGAGCCTTCGATGCCATGGGATGCACCAGTGCCTTCGATGCCATGGGATGCACCAGTGCCTTCGATGCCATGGGATGCACCAGTGCCTTCGATGCCATGGGATGCACCAGAGCCTTCGATGCCATGGGATGCACCAGTGCCTTCGATGCCATGGGATGCACCAGTGCCTTCGATGCCATGGGATGCACCAGTGCCTTCGATGCCATGGGATGCACCAGTGCCTTCGATGCCATGGGATGCACCAGCTATGTTGGAATATACGCACAGAAGGCTTTGCGTATTGCGTATATACGCTTGCGAATATACGCAATACGCTGATACGCTTGGAATACGCGATACGCGATACCCGGGCTGCCCGGCGAAAAAAAAAACTTATATTTTTTTTTTCCGCGACTTCGCGACGTCGCGGTTTTTTCGCCCATTCTTTTTTGCCCATAGCCCAGCCTGCTCTGTACGTGATTGAAAGCCATCCCGTGTTTGCCGTTCCCCATTTCCGTCCAAATCTCAGCTCTGAAGCGAAACGGTGGTGTGCTTAGCTAGGTGGCGGCGATTGCGCGAGTTACGGTGCTTGTTAGTCTTCTACCAAAGTGATGGGGGAGATGATGGGGGGGAGAGTCGAGCATTTGTGAGGAAAGGTTGGAGTTTGTAGATGGGTGGGAGTTCAGTGCGGTGAAAGGGAGGGAGTTGGTTGGCTGGAAGCCAATTTGACTTTGTAGACGGGGGGGTTGAGTGCGGTGAAAGGGAGGGAATTGGCAGGTCAAAATTCGACCCCTCAGAAAATGCCTCTCATTTGAGAGTCACGTTTTCAGAAACCCTAGCCTAGCCGCTACCATCATGGCTTCCTTGCTGCCCCCTGGTTTTGTTACCCTGCCCGGGCAAACCTTTTTTCCTGCCCGGGCATGCGTATTCCTGCCGTATTGGACCCCAAATCCAAGCGTATAGCGTATATACGCAAGCGTATATACGCTAGCGTATAAAACGCAGTACGCGTATTTTCCAACATAGTGCACCAGTGCCTTCGATGCCATGGGATGCACCAGTGCCTTCGATCCCATGCGACCCACCATGGCGAGGCAGACCCATGCAACCCACCATGGCGAGGCAGACCCATGCGACCCACCATGGCGAGGCAGACCCATGCGACCCACCATGGCGAGGCAGACCCATGCGACCCACCATAGCGAGGCAGACCCAGGCGTTGGCGAGCTGCGTGAGCGTGGCGTCCTCGTCGGCGGCCTGCATGGCCTTGAGCTGCTTCTCCGCGTAGTCCACGCGGTCCATCTTCAGAAACACCTGCACGTTCAAAGCCATGCTGGGGGGGGGGGGAGGGAAGAGGGGGAGAGGGGGAGAGGGACAGAGGAGCGAGCGCACACGCAGCAGCACGGCACGGGCAACCATTGAGACGCGCCATTTGCTCCTCGCCTCCGCACAGAACGCGACGACCGCCCGTTCTCTCGTCGCACGTACAGCTCGAGGTTGCCGGCGATGGCGTGCGTGGCCTTGAGCGCGTCCACGTAGTTGTGCTCGCACGCGTACACCGTGCCCGCCACCAGCAGCAGCGTCGCGTTCTTGCCGATCACCGGGTCCGACAGGTACCCCTCCAGACTCGCCACCACGCCGTCCTGCAGCGCAAGGGGCCGCGCGTCAGGCGTCAGGCGTCACGAGCGGAGCGGAGGCATGTGACGAGGCGTGGTGAGCGTGGCGGGCGCACCTTGTTGGCAGCGGGGTCCTTGAGGTACGTGGCGAGCAGCTTGACTGCCTGCAGCGCCGTCGCGGCGGAGTCGGAGATCTCGTCGATCACCAGCTGCGCGGGGAGGGGAGGGGAGGGCAGGGCAGGGCAGCACAGGCGTCAGCGCATGGCGGTCGCGAGGATGCGCGAATGGAGCATTGCGAGCCACGACTGGCGGCGCACCTGGTAGCTGCCGAGGGCGATGTAGGAGCGGTACACGATGGCGTCGCGCTCGACGCTCTCCGCCTCCGACAGCCCGCCCACGGCGCTCTCGTTGATGGCCGCCTGGTATGCGCCCAGCTGGAAGCTGTTGCGCAGCGAAAACAGCGCGTCCGGCCCGCTCATGCTGCCGATGCTGGCTGCGCGCCGAGCGAACTAGTCCGATGCGGGGCTAGACGCTTCTACTACTCGAAATGCTTGTTGTTTGTTAGGAGGTGCAGAGGCAGATCCGATCAGGTGAGTCACTAATCAAACTGCACAAACCGACTAGGGTTGGTTCCATCCTGACAACAGGATATCTGCTTGCGGTCATCGCAGTAGAGAGTGACTCGGGAGAGGAGCAGCCGGCTACTCACCACTCTAACATCCAATGCTGTCAAAAGAACTAGGATAGAGAAAAATATACACAGACATGCATTATGAACAGCATAATAAACTCTTTGAAAATCATTGGTAAAAACGTGGCTTTGATTTGCGAAGAATTTCCTTCTAAAACAATGAAAGCGCGAATATTTCGTCTGTCTTAAGCGCGCCAAGTTCAACGAAAAAAATACATGGGAAAACATGCGAACTGTTGACGATGAGCCAGACGAAACAATTGCGTCCCTAGAGTATGTTACGATAAAAAAAATAGTACATTCCTGAAAGTGACACTTGAGCCGTAACCCTTGTCGAGTCCAAGCCTATGACGCGAGGTACGAAGTGCAACGGTCGTTTACCGTTTACCGACAGCCGAACCGACAGAAGTCTAAGGGTCTGTCACCATAGCAAGGACATATAACTGACCCTGTAATGTGTACAGTTACCCGAGTCGGATCTGGAAACCCCAAAGGGAATGTACCCATGTTAAGTGCATCTTAGTTAGACCTTTCACATTCTCTTGTATCACTATATAAACCCTGCATCCCCTTGCTATAATCAACACTATTATGTTACATTCACTCAGTTAGGGTTCATCGACCAATCAATCGCTTTCGCAAAGCGCACTACTGCAGTTCAATCATGAACATCCTACGGACGAACCACATTGGATCGCTTCATGGTAAACAGAGCCTATCAGGATTCTACGCACGACACTTTTGATCAGTTTCAAATTCAAGTATCGTGGCGCCAATGACTCGCTCCCACCACAGAATGGCCCAGGCTCGGGATCACGAAGGCAAGGAAGCCCTCCTCCCGAAACACGTGCAAATAATCCGAATCCGGCGGCAATGACTTCCGTCCCCACAGGACTCCTCGAAAAATGCTCCAACGAATGTCAACCCTTGAAGAAGGACTCCAATCTCTGAAGATCGATGGCTCGAGAATCTCTCGCCAAACCACTGAAATGCAACCAAACCCTGCAGACAAGGATTCCACCCCTGGCTTCTTCAACTTCGACGCTTCCAATAGACAACCACCTGCAAGCATACGATTAAATGGCGAAGCCCTGCAGACAGCACAATCGAAGTTCTTCGTTGTTTCTAAGATAAAAACAAACACTATCTTCGACGGTCGCGACTTCTACACTTGGAGTTTCGAGTTCGACCTACTACTGCAAAGCGCTCAAATTTTCTGCTACTTCGACGGATCTTATCCCGGATCAACGATCGATACCGAAGACGAAAAACAGCGATACTATAACGAATCGCTCATGGTGTACATCGTACTTCTGCGGAACATGCCCGCTTCCGAGCAACTTGGAATTCGATCGTTCAAAACCTGCGCCGCTCCGACACGTGACTCATGGCTGTACTTGACGAATCTCTACCAGCCGAAGGACTCCGTGTCGTGGAGTCGACTGCTCGGCCACCTGCTAGAAGTGAAGATGGCCTCAGGGGAAAAGACCAACACTTACATAATCGCTGCCGAAGCATCCGCGACCAAATCGTCAAGCTTGGGAACACCATCACCAAAGACATGTTCGTGATGATCATACTCGCTGGACTTACCTCCGAATGGTGACCGTGCAAGGCACTGCTCTGCCAGTAGGGCGAAATATCCGAAGCGACCCTTTGTGCAACACTGCTGGCTGAGCAACAAGACATGGACCTCTACAAGGAGAGAGCTTCGCGCAAAGAGAGGCTAGCCTTCTATTCGGGCCAGAAGGAGCCATGCTGCGACACGCGCAATCGCCGCTATTTTGCAAAGACAGCAAAACCTTTGGACACTCTACAGAGCGCTGCCAAAACCGAACAGGAAGCAGTGCAGGACCACCCTACACGCCTAACTCAGGTGGAAGTCAATAGGGTCACGCCCAACAAAGGAGACCCATCGACCCTTCCCCTCAGGACCCGCGCCAGACCAGTCACCCATCTCACACGGACCAGCGACCAGCCCCGCGCCCTCCTGCATCCTCGGACCTCCGTCCGACTCAGCAAGGCACTCATGGTCAACCTGTCGATCGCCAAGTCTTCATAGCGATGAGAACTCGGGGTCCCACACGTCGAGCAAATCAACGTCGCCGCGCGCCACATCCGCGCCAAAGTCAAGGAGGCACGAACCGGCGATAGAGGTTCAGGACTACAACAACCCCTACAACGAGCACGGCAGCTACAAGATCGATCATGAAGAGCTGGAATGGAACCTTCCCATTCCCCTCCTGGAGCCGACCCCTTACATCACTGATATAACCTTTGGAGGCGACGGGCAAAGCTGGCATGACTTCCCAAGGGACCATCGCATGCACCCGTCAAACAAGCCATACCTGCTGACTCCAAGGATTGCGATGATCGCTCGCAACAACCGCGACAACTACAACACCTGGTACCTGACAGTTGCTGTGGATAGCACATGGTCGGCTCTGAATGCTACATCTCCAATGTCGTCCCCACTCCCACTACAGCCTAGGTAACCGTCGCCAATGAACGGCTTGTGGCAAGACAACAAGGGATAGTCGTCATGCAGGCACACAATACCTTGACACACATCACCTTGAACGACGTGCTCATCGTTCAGAACCTGCGCTACAACCTACTCTCCACAGCGCAGGTGATGTCCTGCGGTGTTGACATCAACACCGACCCCCTATCACAGGACATTCTGCTACACTACCGCAAGCTGCATCAGCCCAACGAAGAGCCAAACCCACTACAGTACATTGGCAGGGTAACAGCAGTTGATGGAGTCTATGTCCTAGACTTCGACATCCCCAACTGCAACGGCGACAGCCATGAGCTGATCGACGTCGTCCCACTCGACTTCGCCTACCAGGAGGAGAAAGAGTGGAAACACCCAGACGACCGCCCATGGATCACCCACCATATGCACCCATCCGAGACGGATCTACACAACCCTGGACCAGACGGCATCTGCCGCACCTATCGCACCCCGACAGCCTTCTCCAACAACATCGCTTGAACGGGACTCAAAACTCTCGAGGAAGACAAGACAGAGTCCCTCCTCACTCCAGAGGTTGGCATGACAACCTCAGAACTTGCAGCAGCCGTCCCCATCGTTCCTCCTCCAGGAATGACTAGCACAGACTCATGCCAACACCTCCAAAGCATTCTGACCTACGAGGGCCCCGGCTGCTTTGACGAAACAGGACAACCAACCCCTTGGGAACTACACACTCACATGGCATTCAACCCCAACTGTAGAGAGCCCATGCCCCGAGAAGCAGCAAATTTGGCAACCAAACTCGCATACGACATGGATGCATGGGCAAGCTCTCTCAGAACCACCACTGCTTAACACGGACCGACGTCACCAGAAGAAACTATAGTAGTAGCATCAGCAGCACGAGGAGCAGCAAAGGCAGTAGCCAAAGCAAAGGTAGAAGCAGCGGCAGTAGAAGCAACAGAGGGAGCAACAGAGGGCGCAGAAGAATAAACAGCAGCAGCAGACCAACAAGAACCACCACGCCCCGAACCGAGGGTCGAGATCGGTGCACCACCCTTCAAGGCACCAAGCAGCTGGGGTCTACCCCCAGCAGGAGGAACCTGGGGAAAAGCATCAGCTGAGGACACCGAGTGGGATACCACTACTAACGCACCAACAGCTGAAGGCTGGGGCTGGCCACGCCCGAGATGACCCTGGTTTAGCAACCCCGCTACAGGACGATGGCGTCTAAACCACGAGGGATGGTATAACAAAGGAGATGATGAGGACGACAAATGCAAAAGGGAAGAATTACACCTGATGCATATCTTCACGTCAGCCGCCCTCCTCCAGCCCTTGGAACTTGGGCCGAGTACGATGAAATCCCATAGAGAAACACCTTCCTCTAGAGAGGCAACTATGGGCCTCCACCACCTAAGCCTCAAAGTCCTCTTCCCCTCGAGTCAACTCCCATCGGATTCGAAGCTGAAGCTGATCTCCAACAGACTGAAACCATTGATAATTTGTCACCGCTCCAAGAGACCAGCATCATCAAAGATCCATCACCCCCTCATCTCCCTTAGCAAATTAACACCGTGGAGCTAGACGAGAATGCAGCTTGACCACACGGCTCTCCTCGAGACCAAGAAGTCGGAGCGGACCTCATAGACCGCCAATTCCTTGCTCTCGCCATTACAGCCCCTGCATTGGTAGACACACCTCCAGCTCCTCCTCCTGACAATTCCCGCCAGCGCTACCAACGCACTTGCGGACTCCGCGCCTCCAGGTGTAGGCGAATATCGTCTCTGGCGCAGCGAAAAGTATTTAGAAATACTTGTGCAAATAGCCTCAAAGGCCTTGCCTCATAATCTGATCTCAAAGTGGTTGCAAGTTGTCAATACACACAAGCATTCCACTAGTTCCAAAAAAATACAAAGCACACAAGAGTATACTGATTTATAGGCAAACAAGAAAGTCCGTAACTGCCGTGTGTGCTGCGCGTAACTCGCGCGCTTTGTGTCATGCCGAGTCGCACACGCAATCGCGACTTTCTTGCTGAACACGCCGCTGGTCCGAAATCCGAATGCTTGTTGAACACGCCCCGTCCGAAACCCAACTTTTGCCCCACGTCAATCTGTTTCTCGCCACTTCCACTCCTTTCTTCCACTCAACAACCATTCTCCTTACTTTCCACCAATCTTTTCTCAATCTTCTCTACAGTTCCTCCCCTTTCCGTACACCTCACGCTCACGCAATATTCCCCGCTTCCTAGTTCCTTCTCGTCCCAAGTCCGCACTTCTCTCCTCGTCACCCCAAGTCACGAGTAGTCCGTTGTGGGTGGCGGAACCACTCCAACAACCTCCCCTGTGGTTCTGCCAACCATGCACCTCCCATGCGATTGTCTCTTCTACTACTCCCCTGCATTCTCCATCCTCACTCTCTAAGTCAGCTCCATACTCCCCTGCAACTGCTTGGCTTTCTGCTTCTGCTTATCAGGCTTGAATGGATAACTCTGAACCCTCAGATTAGGATTGGTCTGCTTCTTCTCCTCACTGTACTCCTCGCCCTCAATAGAGTCCCCAATCTTTCTTGCCCATTCTAGGACACCCTCACATTCAGTAAACAACTCGTCGCTAGCCCGTACTATCCATCCTTCCTTACTGGCCTCCAAAATCTTACCAAACCAATTTATAGCCGTTACTGTCTGCTTCTTTCCCTCAGGTTCCTCCGACTGCTCTATCTCCTCTTTTCTTGTATTTTCTGCTGCCTGCTGCTGTTTCTCCTCCCATCCTGTTTCTCCAAACTTTGCCTCTACTCTGTTGGCCATCATCGTGCTTGTTGCATTATCTCCAGCATCCTGCTTCTTAGCCACCTCAGCTCTTGTCTCCTCCCTTACAACCACGACTTCATTGCTTATGTTGTCCTCCTCATACCCATCCGTTACTAACAGTTTCGGCATAAAATCCATCTCGTAGAAACCCCACTTCAGCTTCCCGTCTGCAACTACTTCCCACGTTGGACCAAATACTGTAATCTTGCCCCGATTGTTGAGCACCTTACATCCCAATGCATCCATCTGTAACTGACTAATCAGATTCATGGATAGGTCCTTCACCAGCAGTACTCCTTTCAGCTTCAGTTCCCCGAACCTGCTACGCAGTAGGACGTCTCCTTCTCCAGTGACGGGTAACTTTGTGATATCTCCCAGCAGTATGAACTTCTCACTCGACTCCCTCACATTCTCCAGCCAGTCTGACCTGTTCGTCATGTGCTGTGTACAGCCACTGTCGAAGTACCAGCCATGGAGCTTGAACCCGTCAGCTCGCAGGTTTGATGCACGCGCAATGTTCGCCCGATGTGCGCCTCCAAGGATAGGATCTTCTTTCTCATTTTCTGCTTCCATCACGTTCACTTTCGGTGCATTCCGTTGCTGAAACGCTAGACCCCTATAACTCTTGCTGTTCGGGTTGGAGTAGCAATCTGTTGCCCTATGTCCATATCTCCCACAGAAATTGCAGGTGCCTCCAAACCCCTTCCGCTGTTGCCAACCTTCTCCCCCGCTAGTAGCTTCCTTCTCCTTATAGTTCCTGCTCTTAGGATTGTCGTAGCAGTCTATCGCCTTGTGCCCTTTCTTACCGCAGTGGTAACAAGCACCACTAATCCTCCAAGCTGCTGCTGCATTCACCATCCCCGGCTTCTCTTGCCCGTAATATGCAGCTTCCGTTTTCCGCTTGCTCGCTGTCTTCATCGCCTCAATCGACTGCAGCTTGTCCATTAACTGTGTCTTGCTCTCTGGAGGGTGAAGAACAAGGCCGCTCTTCTCTGCTGCCCACGTTTCAGATAATCCACTTGCTATGTGCTAGATCATCTGCTCCTCATTCTCAGCATCTCCCATCGCCGCTAGCGCATCGTTGAGGCCGCACGCTCTGTTGACGTAGTCGATGATCTTCTCTTCCTCTCCCATGCTGAGCAGCAACAGCTTCTTACGCACAGCAGACTTGTTAGCGTTGCTTGGCCTAAGATACATGCTCTCCAAACATGCCCAGGCCTTCTCCGCAGAATTCACTTCACACTTAAACGGGTCCAAATTGATGGCAATACTGTCATAAACTGAGTGACACAACTGAAAGAATGCTTGCTTACTCTTCCTCCTGAATTCTGCAATTTTCTCCGCCGATTCCGTCTCAGTAGGAGGTACTTCCTCCCCTGTCTCCTTGTCCGGCGAGTAGTAGGGCCAGAGATCCACCTCCTCCGCCCTTCGACTGAACTTCAAGCGCCACGTACTGTAGCTGCTTCCATTGAAACGTTGGGCCTCGCTGAGCCCAATCGCCGGTTTCACCACCAACTGCCCCCTCGACAGGGCCTCCAGGAGAGCTCTCATCTGCGGGTCTCCAATGCTCACACTGGATCCCGAACTAACCTCGTCACCCGCCATGACGTAGGCTTAGGCTACTCTCCTTTAACTCATCTGCTCTACTTAGCGCACTAAGTAGACTCCACGCAGAAAAGTTCGCCAGCAATTCAACGCTAGCTCTGATACTAGTTCTAGGCGACTAGTCTGATACGAGCGAAAAGTATTTGGAAATACTCTTGGTATTTTGGGCTTGGTATTTTGGGCGACTCATGTCTTCTGGGGTGGTAATTTCCGGGTTGTCGCGTTGGTTTCACGAGCATCGAGAGCCTGGTTACTTTCGCAAACGCCTGGTGTTCGATTCATGTTCACAAAAATGTGACGCTCCCTGTCCCTAAGCAAAACGCCGCGGCAGAAACCCACTCTCAACCGCACTGAAGTGAACTCTGATGACAATTGCTTTTCTCGGAGTGGCCATAGATACGCCACAGCCTCACCAGAAACCTGGAGTTAGCATAGTAGACACCGCTCGACCAGTGTCAGACCGCCGTTATGTCGTAAAGCCCAAGGTCGGCACACCAGCTCACCGCTCGCTATATCGCGCGCCTCGTTCGCTCCATAGTCGCGCGTGCATCCCGCCACCATGGCGGCGCTCCCCTCCTCGTCGTACCTCGTCGCCGGCCTGCTCGGCCGCCCGGGCGCCGCCAAGACCATGGCGCGCACGGACGCCGCGCCCGCCGATGGCCCCGCTGCGGGCGGTAGCGTGGGGCCCGGCGGCGGCGGGGAGTGGTACTTCAGCCGCGAGCACATCGAGAAGCACTCGCCGTCGCGCGCCGACGGCATCGACCTGCGGCGCGAGACGTACTTGCGGCGCTCCTACTGCACGTTCCTGCAGGACCTTGGCATGCGCCTCCGCGTGTACGCCCCCCCGCCCCGCCCTCCCGCCTCCCATCCCCCGTAACAGCCACTCCCGCACGCACGGCGTTGCACTCTACCGCTCTCACTCGCGCCCCCTCTGCCCTCACTCGCGCCCCTGCCTCTGCCCTCATTCATGCACGTGCCTCTGCCCTCATTCATGCACGTGCCTCTGCCCTCATTCATGCACGTGCCTCTGTGTCCTTGAGACCAGCCCCCCCCCGGTCCCCCCCCGCCCGTTCTTTCTCCTAGTAATGCTCCTGCGACCCCATTTTGCATTCCAATCCGCTTCTCATGCAAGTTGCGCCCAAGCATCCAACCAACCTGCAGAATGGCTTCACATGTCATGTGCTGTGTGCTGCGTGCTGCGTGCTGCGTGTGTGTGTCTGCCGGTCTGCCTGCCACGTGCGTGCATGCCATACGTCCCCTCCCCCCTGCCCCCGCCAGTCCGCAGATCACGATAGCCACAGCCATCGTCTTCTGCCATCGCTTCTTCATGCGCCAGTCGCACGCCAAGAACGACCGCTACGTGCGTTCTCCTCCCCCCTCTGCTATGGTTTCCCTCTCTGCCATGTGCGCTCCGCCTCGTTGGCGGGTTCCTTTCCATGTGCGCTCCGCCTCGTTGGCGGGTTCCTTTCCATGTGCGCTCTGCCTCGTTGGCGGGTTCCTTTCCCTGTGCGCTGCGTGCCTCCTCCCACCGTGTTTCGTCGGACGTCATCGTGCCATGGTGCCATCGTGTCTTGTAAGAGTGTGGAGTCACATGCACCACTTCATGCTGCTTTCATTCCTCCCCATGCATTCCTCCCCATGCATTCCTCCCCATGCATTTCTCCCCATGCATGTTTCCGTCACAGCAGCAACATCCCTTCGCCGCCATTGTGCTTCCCTCCCCCCACCACCCCCCCCCAGGCGATAGCGACGGTGTGCATGTTCCTGGCGGGTAAGGTGGAGGAGACCCCACGCGCGCTGCGGGAGGTGGTGCAGAAGAGCTTCGACGCGCAGGCCAGGAAGGACCCCACCGCCGCCGCCAAGCTGCCGCACAAGGCAAGGTGCCACGCTGCCGCACAAGGCAAGGTGCCATGCTGCCGCACAAGGCAAGGTGCCACGCTGCCGCACAAGGCAAGGTGCCACGCTGCCGCACAAGCTAGGGTGCCACGCTGCCGCACAAGGTAAGGTGCCACGCTGCCGCACAAGGCAAGGTACCACGCTGCCGCACAAGGCAAGGTGCCACGCTGCAGCACAAGGTGCTCTCAGCTGCAGGCGCTGCCGGTCCGATTTCCATCCATTCCTCCTGCTGCCTTCTCGTGTGTCATTCTGCTGTCTTTCCTTCCGACCGCCTTTCGCTGCCAGGAGGAGCAGCAGAAGGAGGTGATTGTGGTGGGCGAGGGGCTGGTGCTGGCCACTCTGGGGTTCGACCTGAACGTGGCGCACGCGTACAAGCCGCTGGTGGCCGCCATCAAGCGCTTCAAGGTGGCGCAGCAGGCGCTGGCGCAGGTGGCCTGGAACTTCGTCAACGACGGGTGGGGGAGGGGGGGAGGGAGCGCAGGGGAGGGGAGAGTGTGACGGGGGGCGAGACAAGTAATTTTGGGGGGTGGGGGAGAAGTGGGGAAGAGAGTGATTTCATTTGTGGGGGGGGGGGAAGAGGTGAGGTGTGGTTGAGGGGGAAGGGGGAAAGGGGGTGGAGCGAGGAAGGTCTGGGGGGGGTTGAGGTGCCTTAGAAGGGCGTGAGAGGGACGCTTGAGGGTGGTGAGAGGGGACAATAGAGGGGGGATGTGTGGACAATAGAGGGGGGATGTGTGGACAATAGAGGGGGGATGTGTGGGCGTTAGAGGGGGGATGTGTGGACAATAAAGAGGGGATGTGTGGACAATAGAGGGGGGATGTGTGGACAATAGAGGGGGGATGTGTGGACAATAGAGGGGGATGTGTGGACAATAGAGGAGGGATGTGTGGACAATAGAGAGGGGATGTGTGGACAATAGAGGGAGGATGTGTGGACAATAGAGGGGGGATGTGTGGACAATAGAGGGGGGATGTGTGGACAATGGAAGGGGGATGTGTGGGCGTTGGAGGGGGGATGTGCGGACAATAGAGGGGGGATGTGTGGGCGTTGGAGGTGGGATGTGTGGACAATAGAGGGGGGATGTGTGGGCGTTGGAGGGGGGATGTGTGGACATTAGAGGGGGGATGTGTGGGCGTTGGAGGGGGGATGTGTGGGCGTTGGAGGGGGGATGTGTGGAGGCGTTGCAACGAATGCGGAAAGAGAGGGCACATCAGCAGCCAGTGCTACAGGAGGGGAGGAGGACAAATGGGGAGATCAACGAGAGAGCAAGAGCTGGAGTAGGAAGTGAAGAAGCTGAAGGCACAGCTGGGAAAAGCAGAAATCCGAGAAGATCCTGCTAAGGCCATGATGGCGTGGGAAGGTGATGAGGAGGAAGCAGAGTACGAGGAGGATCCCGAGTCAGAGTATGCATTCGTGGCGATGCTGCCGCGAGTCAGAGATGACTTAGGACTGAGGAGCGGAGGTGCTGACGGCAGGAAGGAACAGAAGACGGTGATGCAAGGTAGGAGGAAAGGAGAAACAGCAGAGGAGAAGGGAGAACGTGCTAAGCGCCATTCGGAAGACAGATTGGTGTGTCCCACGGCCGCGCTGCTGGCAGAATCCGGGACCATTGCCGTGCAAGGGATGAAGGTAGAGAATGCCATCATTGATACCGGAGCCCAGAGTGTACTAATGGGGAGGAAGTTAGCCGAGCGGCTGAGACAACAAGGGAAGCTGGAAACAGTGAGCAAGGGGATGCTTATCATGACGGCGGAAGGAGGGCTACCCAAGTGGATGCCGAGTACGAAGGAGCCGGTTGAGATAGCGCTGCTGCCAGGGCAGAAAGAGGAGACAAAGATCCGGGTACAGTGCGGGCTGTCTGAATCAGACGACTACGATTTGCTGGTTGGAATGGAGCTAATCTACAAGATAGGGGCACAGATCTAAGTTGGTACCTTACGTGACTTTAGCCCACGTACACGTAAAGTACGCGTAACTTTACGTGTACGTTACGTTACGCGTACGTTACGTGTACGTCGCCGGGCAGGCCTCAAATTTTTTTCCCGGGCAAAATTTTCCCCCTAAGAAAACGCGATTTACAACTACTACTAGGCTGTTCAGGACTAGGCTACGGCTAATGCCTACGCTCCGCACTGATCTACCCCATCAATCTAAGTCGCAACTAAATTCGTTGCGCTGATAGTATACGCGTTCCTCCTAGTCGTAAGATGCTACGTAGTCTAGACTTGATTGTCGCTGGAGTAAGGTTAGCGATTGGCATTCGTCGAGGGAGGAAGGAGAAACACATGTCGAGAGGGGTTGTTCATTGACGGGTTGGATTGCCGGGGCACCAAATTTGACGCGCACCAGCGACGAGATTTCGCGCATGCGGAATTTCGCTAAACAATTTGTGACTTTCGTCGCACCCCACTCGTGATAATCTTCTACTAGAAGATCAGAACCTACAAACGTTTTTACAAAAGTCGGCTTTCCATCCCCCCCATTTTTTTCCCTTGGGCAGCCTAAATTTTTTTAGACTGCCCGTACATTCAGGCCTAAAACCAGAATCGCGTAAACGTACGTAAACGTAAACGTACACGTACGTAAACGTAACGTAAGGAACCAACTTAGGCACAGATTGACGCGTGGGGGGAGAAGCTCACCTTCAGAACCGAGTACTGGAAGGAGGGAGGGGCACAGGGAGATCTGCCGGTGCGATTTGTAAAAATGGAGCCACGGAGGGCCCTGAGAGCCACCGAGCCTCTGCGGAGGGCAGAGGAGAAAAGGAGCGGTGATGAGGTGAAGAGAGTTGCGCAAGGCAAGACAGTGAACCTCAATCAGCAAGTGGAAGCGACGCTGGGAGACCAGCCCATCACGCTGGTGGAACTCTTCGGCGGCATAGGAGCAGGACTAGCAGCGGCACTGGAGGCAGGACTGGTCGTGCAGAGATGGATCTTAGTGGAGATAGACCCACAACGGCCAGGCGCATGGCCTGGCATCATGCGGAGCAGCTGCAACGAAGATATCCGGGACAGATATGCAGAGCGGTGATAGAGGAAGCTAAGCGAGAAGGAGCTTGGGACGTGCGCCAGCTAAACGAAGCAACAGTATGGGGATGGGGACAGGTGGATCTAGTAGTGGCGGGATGGGAGTGTCAAGGCACCTCGCGAGCCGGCAAGGGGCGGGGAATGGGAGATTCGCGCACGGCGCTACTGTATGAGCTACTGCAAGTGCTAAAATGGATCAAGGAAGGGGGATCACAGTGCTGTTACATAGTGGAGCATGTGGACATGATGGGAGACCCGCGAGATCCAGTGAGAGCCACACAAGAGAAGGTAGTGGCGGAGCTGGGGGCAGGCGTGAGTTGGGATGCCGCTCTGAACAGAGCAAGAGCAAGGCGAGTAAGGAGATACCGGCAGAACGCAGGGGGGACTGAGAAGCTGGAGCAAGGACTGGCTGACCTCAGAAGAGACACGAACTTGCTGGTAGCGGACATTCTAGAGCCAGGACGAACGCCAGCCCCGGTGGAAAAGCGAGACCACCCTAAGCAGCTGCAGTGCAATAAACCGGGCGAGCCAAGAATGTTATGGCCTACCTTGGTGGCCTACGAAGGAGCCCAAGGATTTGTGATGGAAGAAGACAAGCCAGGACCAGGCATGGTGTATGACAGAGCAAGAGGACAGTGGGAAGAACCTACAGCAACCGAGCGAGAACTGGCGATGGGATACATACCAGGGGCAACAGCCGCACGAGGAGTACCAGAGCGAGAGCGAAGAGCCGCCCTAGGGCGGGCAATGGATCAGCATGCATTACGGTGGCTGATAAAGGAGATGATACAGCAGCGGGAGGAAGAAGGGCCGAGAGGGCAGCCTGGAAAAGGGAACAGGGGGCAAATCAAGGCGAGCCGAGCATACCTGACACAAGAAGAAAAGCAGGAAGAAGACAAAGACACAAAAAAGGAAGAGAAGACAGAAAAGGAAGGCCAGAGACAATGGGAGGTGAGCTCGGAACTGGACAGCAAGGTGGCGGCAGAGATACAGCAAGTGTTAGTAGAGCATCGGAAGACCTTCGCATACACCCTGCAAGAATTGGGGAAGTGCAAGCTGCATGAGCTTGAGCTACCTCTGGACACCACGGTGCCCATTTACCAGAGGAGGCGGCGGATGAGCCCGGGAGACGAAGAGATCTGTCGCGGCAAGTGCAGAGAGCTGCTAGATGCAGGACTGATACGGCCGTCAAACTCAGCATACGCAGCGGCGACGGTGGTAGCAGCGAGGACAGACTTGACCGGAGAAGTACTGGCCAGGAGAATGTGCGGTGACTACCGGGAGTTAAACCGCATAACAAAAGCAGATCGTTACAGCATGCCCACGGCAGAGGAGATCTTCGACAGGCTGGAAGGAGTGGTCATCTTTTCAACACTGGACATGCGGCAGGGGTTCAATCAGATAGTCATTAGGGAAGAAGACAAATGCAAGACCGCCTTCCATGGCGTGGATGGCCAGTACGAGTGGAATGTAATGCCATTCGGACTGAGGAATGCCTCAGCCGTGTTCCAGCGAGTCATGGATCAGGTACTGAAGACGGTACCATCAGCAGCGTGCTACATTGATGACGTGGTGATCTACAGCAAGACGGAGGAGGAACATGCGGAGCATCTGAGAGCAACGCTGGACGCGATAGCAGCAGCTGTCATCCGGAGAAGTGCAAGATAGCTAGGAGGACAATTACTTACCTGGGATTTGAAGTCCGAGGAGGAAAGATGGGCATACAGGAGGCAAAAGTGGCAGTGCTTGACAAGCTGGGGGCACCGAAGGACAAGGGAGCACTGAGGGCACTCCTGGGGTTTCTAAACTACTACCGACGCTTTATCCCCAATTTCAGCAAGAGAGCTCACCGGCTGAACCAACTGCTGAGGGAAGGGCAAGCCTGGAAGTGGGGACCAGAGGAAGAACAGGCAAGAAGGGACCTACTAGAGGCCATTAAAGCAGGAACGGTACTACAGCTGCCAAGGAGAGACTTACCATTCACGCTGTACACTGACTGGAGCAGCACGGGCATGGGAGCAGTATTGTGTCAAGAGGTAGAGGGAGAAGAGCGAGTGGTAGCGTATGCCAGTCGAAGCTGCACGGCAACAGAAGCCAACTACAGTTCATACGAAGGGGAAGGATTAGCGACTGTGTGGGGAGTGACACACTTCAGGGCCTACTTGCAAAGACAAAGATTCACGCTGATAACAGACCATCAGCCACTCCTGTGGCTGATGACCAACGGATCCTTGACAGGGCGGAATGCACGGTGGGCAATGCGACTGCAAGAGTACGACTTCATCATCAAGCATCGCGCAGGAAAGACGCTACAACATGCAGACGGGCTGTCACGGAATCCTCCCCCAGCGGTAGAGCAGCAATGGGCAGCAGTGGCCGCGGAGGGAGAAGAGAAGGGAGATGTGCAGGAGCTGAAGGAACAAAAGGCAGCGGATATTTGGTTAGATAAGGAGACACTCCACTGGGTACAAGGGCTGACCGAAGACACTGCAGCAGTAACGGCTAGGGCGAGGAATAGAGGAGGACATTACCGGTGGTTTCAGAATCAGATGCAGCTACGCACGTTGGAAGGATGGAAGGTGGTGCCAGAGCCAGGAGAAAGGGAGCAGATCGTACAACAAGTGCATGAGAAGTTAGGGCACTACGGGGGAGCCAGAACAAGGCAGCTACTATGCACCACCTACTGGTGGGCGGGAATGAGGAGAGACGTGGCGCAGTGGGTGCAGGGGTGTGAGGCGTGCCAGAGGAACAAGGCGGCGCTGGAGAAGGGCAGGGAAGAATTGCAGTCGCTGCCCATACGAGGTCTAGGATTCAGGTGGTCCTTGGACCTAGCAGGCGAACTACCGTTATCCAGAAGAAGGAAGATGTATATAGTCGTGATGATCGAGCATACGACAAAATGGGTGGAGGCGTAGGCAATAGCCAGCAAGAACAGTGGGCTAATCCGAGAAGCATTTCTGGATCAAGTCCTCACCAGATTTGGGGCATGCGGGGAGGTGCTGACTGACCAAGGTACTGAGTTCCAAGGCAGCTTCGCGGAGCTGTTAACAGAAGTGGGCATCACGCATCGAGTGACCTCTCGATACCATCCTCAGTTTGACGGGTTGACAGAACGGATGATACAAACGATCAAAAGAGGACTGCGAGCGTACAGAGAGCAGAAAAAGAGGGAGTGGGATGCAGAACTGCCATGGGTGCTGGCAGGCTATCGGTTCGCAAAGCAGTCAGCGTTGAAAGACATGTCCCCATATCACTTGCTATACGGCAGAGAGCCCATGCTACCAGTTGATGTGCCCAAGCTACTCACCGAGTCAATGAGTGAAATGTCGGCGGAGGCGTGGGCGGCGGAGGCGATGCGAAGAGGGGAGTATCTGAAGGAACTGATGCCAGCAGCCCTGGAGAATCTGCACACAGCGCAGCTGAGAGATGAACGCAGGTACCAGCAGAGACGATAAAGAGAGGTAGGAGGGACAGCTAGCAACGTGGCCGTAGGGAGGGAAGTATACTTGAGAAGGGCAAGGAAAGACACCCTGGAAATGTCAGTGGGTACCGAGAAGTGGCGTGTGCAGGAGATACGCGCCTCAGGCGTATTGGTGCTGGAGAATGCGAAAGGGGAGAGGAGGAGAGAGCACATCACGAATGTCGCTGCAACAGGAGAAGGCAGGACCAAGCAGAAGGATCCCATGGCTGAAGCAAAGGGAGGGATCGATTCAACCAGGGAGGGGGCAAGGGTGCTTGGTCCCACAGCAGCAGTCATCACCTACCAGAGACGGAATGGACAAAGGAAGAAGTAGGGCAGGGAGGAAGGATAGTTAAGAAAAGGAGGAGAAAAGGGGGAAGCACGACAGCTGTCGCGGTACCCGTTGGAAGGCATGAGCCTCCCCACGGTTAACACAGCAGCAGGGGAAGAGGTGAGGGAAGCAGAGAATTATCAGAAGAAAGAGTTGCATAATTGAAATACAAAATACGGGAGAAAGAGGTACAGTGCTGTACTGTACAAAGTATGAAGTAGCTCAGGGATCGGGCCGCGAGGATAATGGGACCTTACAATTTCGAGGCGCGAGCAAGAACGAGGTGGGGGCGGAAGGGATGTCAGCAATAGCCCCATCTGACGAAAGGCAGGGAGCAGGGAATCTCAGTTCCCTAGGAAAGGATGGGAGAGAGGCAAGGTAGCAGGGGAGACTGAGGTGTAAATAGACTGAGACTCAGTAGGCGAATCGTTTCTCGCTTGTATGTTTTCCTACTATACTGCTATCACACTCTACGCCTACTAGAGTCCCGCAGTCCGGGAATTCAGTCCCACGTGGATCTGAGCAACCAGGAAGAGGCTTGTATAGGGTGCTTGGTCCCACAGCAGCAGTCATCACCTACCAGAGACGGAATGGACAAAGGAAGAAGGAGGGCAGGGAGGAAGGATAGTTAAGAAAAGGAGGAGAAAAGGGGGAAGCACGACAATGTGTGGATAATAGAGGGGGGATGTGTGGGCGTTGGAGGGGGGATGTGTGGACAATAGAGGGGGGATGTGTGGGCGTTGGAGGGGGGATGTATGAACAACAGAGGGGGGATGTGTGGGCGTTGGAGGGGGGATGTGTGGACAATAGAGGGGGGATGTGTGGGCGTTGGAGGGGGGATGTGTGGACAATAGAGGGGGGATGTGTGGACAATAGAGGGGGGATGTGTGGACAATAGAGGGGGGATGGGTGGGCGTTGGAGGGGGGATGTGTGGACATTAGAGGGGGGATGTGTGGGCGTTGGAGGGGGGATGTGTGGACATTAGAGGGGGGATGTGTGGACAATAGAGGGGGGATGGGTGGGCGTTGGAGGGGGGATGTGTGGACATTAGAGGGGGGATGTGTGGGCGTTGGAGGGGGGATGTGTGGACATTAGAGGGGGGATGTGTGGGCGTTGGAGGGAAGTTGTGCGGGGAGCTAAAGTCAATGATGGGTTTGAGGGTTTTGGGAGAGCTTTCGACTTGATGCGGGACTGGGGGCTGCTGTAATCTCAATGCATGGAGGGTGTGAGGAGTGATGCGAGAATGAGTGCATGTGGTGAGTGCGTGTGATAGTGCAACTTGCATCTGCCTAGTCACGCTCGCCACCACACCAACCACACGTGCCCGTTTTTTACCTTCCTCCTGTGTCCCCTGTACCCTCCCTTACCCCTGCTTCTCCCCTCCCCCGCCCCCCCTCGCTCCCCCCCCAGGCTGCGCACGTCCCTGTGTCTGCAGGTGCGCGCGGAGCAGTTCGCGGCGGGCGCCATCAGCCTCGCGGCCAAGTTCCTCAAGGTCAAGCTGCCGGGGGATGGTGACAAGCCCTGGTGGGCCGACTTCCATGTCACGCCCAAGACGCTTGAAGGTGGGGGCAGGCCGTGCAGGGTGTGTGGAACACATGGAGGGAAGCCCACAGCGCGCAGGGTGATGCGTTGAGTGCCGGGTGCACAAGGTGGTGCTCTCAGCAGACCACCGTGCCGGCAGAAATGAAGCGCGTGCATGTGTCAGCTCAGAGCGTGCGAGCGTGCGTCCAAGAGTCAGTCGGCTGTGTAGCTGAAGCTGTTAGTTCACGAGAGTTCTAGGGGTATACATGGTTGACATGAGCATGAGTCAACAACGCTGCACCATGGCTGGGTTGACGAAGGATATGGGGCGTCCAAAAGTGGTGGTCAAGTGCCAGCCCCCTGACCTGTTTGGGCTCAAAGGGTCGTTTGCTGACCCCAACCACACAGTGGACGGCACCTAGCTTTAGGGCATTCATGCGAGAGATGCTGGTCGTGAGCATGCCACTGTGCAACAAGGTCCTCTGCCCGTGCCTGTTGTATCTTGGTGCTGCCATCGCTCGCTGACCCCATGCACACAGCCATGCGCATGGTGCCTTGTTCAAGCCTGCACCACCGCTCCGCACCTTCAAGTGCGTGTGCAGCCAACGCAGCTCGTTGCTGGCAAGGTGAGGTTTCGCTTGCGCAGTGGTGAACGGCTGAGACCGGCGCGAGCTGCCTGAAGGAGGAGTCATGCGGAAGAATGGGTGGGCCAGACGGCCCAGGCGATGCGGGCGCACGGTCAAAAGGACTGCCCCCGTCATGGATGTCACTCTTGCGCCACGCAACTCAACATTCCCTCACCATCACCTTAGCAGAGTTTGTGTGGTCCGGCACACACTGTTGTCATTGCTCCCTCTACTCCCGTTGCCCCAGCCCTCTTTCCCTCCCTCCCCTCCCTCCCTCCCTCCCTCCCTCCCTCCCTCCCTCCCTCCCTCCCCTCCCTCCCTCCCTCCCTCCCTCCCCCCCCCCCCCCCCCCTCTCGCTCCCTCCCTCCCTCCCTCCCTCCCTCCCTCCCTCCCTCCCTCCCTCCCTCCCTCCCTCCCTCCCTCCCTCCCTCCCTCCCTCCCTCCCTCCCTCCCTCCCTCCCTCCCTCCCTCCCTCCCTCCCTCCCTCCCTCCCTCCCTCCCTCCCTCCCTCCCTCCCTCTCTCCCTCCCTGCCCCCCCCCCCCCGCCAGACGTGAGTGTGCAGCTGCTGGAGCTGTACGAGCAGGTGCGCCTGGCCCCTGCGCCCACCCACCCCGCTGCCACCACCACCGCGCCCTCCGCCTCCGCTGCGTCGCGAGGCAGCTCCCGCGGTGCGCCCACGTCCCTCTCCCACCCCCCTCTCGCTTCTGCCACCACCACCACCGCCACCACCACCAGCAGCGCTCCTCTGTTGGGTAAAGGGTCCTCTGCTGCGCCCAGTGACTCCCACTCGCTGCCTGGTGGCGGGGGAACAGCGGGAGGACAGGGGGGCGGAAGGCGGCACAGTGACGGCGAGAGGGAGAAAGAGAGTGAGAGAGGGGGTCACAGGGAGAGTGACGGGAGGAGAGAGCGGATTGCTGCGAAGGGTAGGGATGGGCGGGCGAACGGCAGTGTGGGAGGGGGGGAGATGGCAGTGAACGGTGATGGAGGGAGGAATGCGGGTGAGGCAGGTGCAGTGGAGGAGAGGGGAGGAAGGAGGCAGAGTGGGGGGGTCTCGGGGTATGGTAGCAGGGGTGGGGACACACATGGGAGGGGAAGGGATGGGACGCCAAATGAAAGGGACGAGGGGGGGAGAAGGGGCAGTGGGGGAAGCAGTGCGGCGATGGAGGAGGAGGATGGGGAGATAGGCGAGTGGTCGGGGGGGAATGTGGAGGAACCAGGCAGCGCGCACCAGGAGGGCCGGACCAAGGGGGCCAGGGGCAATGGGGTGGATGAGGAGGAAGGGGCGGAGGGGCGGGGGAGGAAGAGGTGGGGCGGTGAGGAGGAGATGGAGTATGCGGTGCTGCTGGACGAGGTGGACGTGGGGGCCAGGGGGCCGGGCGGGGAGAGGGGGAGGGCGAGGGCGGGGGGCAGGAGCGAGTGGCAGGAGCAGGAGAGTGCTTCAAGGGGTGGCAGTGGCGAGAAGCGGCAGCAGGTGAGGGCCCGCCTTGCCTGTGCGGGGGCAGGGGCAGCTCGTGACGGGTGGGGGAGTGCGGACAGGAGGGAGGAGGAGGGCGAGGTGGGTGAGGCGGGGGAGATAGGGGAGGCGGGGGAGGTGAGTGCAGGGGAGGGTGGCAGGGCGGATGGGGGGGATGATGGGGTGGGGCGGGCAGCGGATGGCAGGAGCAGGCGGAGTGGAATGGACCTGAACCGTGCAGCGGACGAGCCGGCAGCGCGCAGCAGCGACAGCAGGGCAGGGGGGAGCAGCCGTGCGCACACTGGCGGTGCTGGCGCTGGCGCTGCTAGCGGTAGAGCTGACCAAACGACGCCAGGTAGTGGGGAGGAACACAGAGGGGTGCAGCGCGGTGGTTTGAGGCGAGGGAGGGATGGGGAAGAGGCTGGCGATGACGATGATGAGGGTGGGCAGCACAGGCATGGTGGCGAGTGGGGAAGGCACAAGAAGGCACGCATGGAGACATAATCATGTCGCAACCGGCATCGACCCATGTTCATGCCATGATATTACCACAATTCCCCGCAAAAGGCACCCCCTGTAGTTGAAATGAAACCCCCCTGTGTAGTTAAATCAGGGAGGGTGTATTGGTACTCATTTGTCTTGCAGTTACGTAATCTCCCAGGCAAAGGACCCATCGGTAAGAGAGTCCATGGGTCGCTTGGAAGCAGGGTCCTCGACATCAGACAAATTCCGCCTGTTTGTCTGATTTTCAGACTTTTTCTCAGGCGTTTATATGATTTTTTAGAAGCCCAATTATTGAATTTCTGATGCCCTAGAAAGTGATTTTGTATCCTTCTGATATTTCAGAAAGGGTGTACGCGTCCTTCTGATATAACAGACTTAGCGAAATTTCTCATCTGAAACGGATCTCTGTAGGTTGCATGAGGATCTTGATTGGTCCTTCGACAAAATCACCACCCGATGCCTGCTTGAGGGTGTGTGAGTGGCGCCAACAGGGACTTGGTCAAACATATATTGTATGTTTGTGTAGACTATATAGGGTTGTGCCTTAGGGAGTACAACCCATTAGGTTATATTAACGTGTATGCCTTGTTCTATACATTCTTTCATTTGAACATGGTATCATGAGTAGGTAGTGTCAAACATTAGTATATCTAGTGTTTGTATAGACTGTATAGGGTCACCTCTTAGAGAGTACAACCCTTAGATATGTATGCCTGTACCCAGGTTCTCTACTCATTCATTCTCTAAGTTCTAAGATGGTATCAGCAGTAGGTAGGTCCCGCCGCCCGCCCACGCTTCCGCCCTAGGCCCTAGCCGCCCCCGCGCCCGTCCTAGTTGACCCCGCGCCCGTCCTAGCTGCGCCCGCCGCGCCCGTCCTAGCCGGCCCCGCGCCCGTCCTAGTTGCACCTGCCGCGCCCGTCCTAGCTGGCCCCCGCGCCCGCCCTAACGGCCCCCTGCGCCCGTCCTAACGGCCCCTGCGCCCTCCTACCGGCCCCCGCGCCCGTCCTTCCCGGCCCCGCGCCTGTGCTAGCTGGCCCCGCGCCCGTCCTAGTGGCCCCCGCGCCCGTCCCACCGGCCCCCCGCGCCCGTCCTAGTGGCCCCCGCACCCGTCCTAGCTGGCCCCGCGCCCGTCCTACCGGCTCCCGCGCCCGTCCTAGTCGGCCCCGCGCCCGTCCTAGTGGCCCCCGCGCCCGTCCTACCGGCCCCCCCCGCCCGTCCTTACCGGCCCCGCGCCCGTCCTAGCGGCCCCCGCGCCCGTCCTACCGGCCCCTGCGCCCGTCCTAGCCGGCCCCGCGCCCGTCCTAGTGGCCCCCGCGCCCGTCCTATCGGCCCTCGCACCCGTCCTTACCGGCTCCTGCGCCCGTCCTAGCCGGCCCCCGCGCTCGTCCTAGCTGGCCCCCGCGCCCGTCCTACAGGCCCCCGCGCCCGTCCTAGTCGGCCCCGAGCCCGTCCCAGGCCCCTCCTAGCCGGCCCCACGCCCGTCCCAGGCCCGTCCTAGCCGGCCCCGCGCCCGTCCTACCTGGCCCTTGCGCCCGTCCTTGCCGGCCCCGGCGCCCGCCGCTACTGGCCCCAGCGCCCGTTCTGCTGACCCTTGCACGCGCCCTGCCCGTCGATCTCCGGCCCCGTGCTCACCTTCCCGCCGGACTGCCGCCGATCTGCGTGCGGCCCGCTCTTCGTGCCTGCTACTGCACTGCACCCTCCCTGGTACGGTTCTCCATCACCTTGCACCGCACGGCACCGCACAGCACCGCACTGTACCGCACTGTACCGCACTGTACCGCACTGCACCGCACTGTACCGCCCTGCACTGCACTGTACCATCCTGCACTGCACTGTACTGCCCTGCACTGTTCTTGATGGCGGCGGAGCTTCGCTTCGACGCTGAAGGCCAGCCTCTGGAGTTTGAGGCCTGGCTAGCTGACCTCCGCCGCCACCTCACTGGTCAGCGGCAGGATGGCCACCCACTCTCGGCACATCTTGACGGTACGCTTCCCTGCCCAGATCCCCCTACTGTGCTGCCCGCTGACCCCGCACCTGCTGAGCGCGAGTCTACTACGGCCGCTGCCCTCGCTCGCTCTGTCTGGCTTTCCCGTGACGCTGTCGCCCAGCTTGCCATTAGCAATGCCCTCCCCCCGTCTGAGCGTCCTCGCTTTAGGTCGATCACCACCGCCCAAGCTTTCTTAGACGCTGTTATCCGGCGCTATTCCGCCCCGCCTGCTGCCTCGGTGGGTCGCCTGATCCTACCGATGCTCTTTCTTGACCTTCCGTCTTTCCCCACCGTTGCTGACCTGGCTGCCCACCTGCGTACGATAGATGAGACGTGGCGCGCTGCCTGCACTGACGCACAGCTTAGAGCCCACCAGCCGCCCCTTACCTCTACCCTCTACTTGCTTGCTACCCGCCTCCCTGACCGCCTTGCCGCTGCTCGTGACCACTTCCTTAGTGTTCACCCCGGTGACCTCACCCTCACAGACTTTGTAGACACCCTGACTGTTATTGAGACCCGCCACCGCTCTATTGCCCAGGCGAGCGGTATTGTGCCGGTCCCTATCTTTCAGGGTTGTGCCCCCGCTCAGTGCACCTTCTCCGATGGTTCTGCCGCTGTGGCTGAGACCGCCGCTGCAGCGCAGTTCTGTCCGGGGAAGGGCCGCCGCCCCAAGGCTGGGCGCGGCGGAGGAGGTGGGGGTGCCAGTGGAGGTGGTGGTGGAGTCGGGTCGTCTGGTGGTGGAGTGGACGAGGGGACCCTGCCAGGTCAAGCTGAGCAGCCGCCCCAACAGCCGCAGAAGCACCAGCAGCCGCAGCAGACGCCGCAGCCGCAGCAGTCGCAGCAGCTGCAGCAGCCGCCGCAGACAAGGCAGGCAAGTGCCCTCCCGCCCGGGTGGCCTGGCGCTGGTGGTGGTCGTGCGCGTGGTGGTGTGCCGGGTGGCGTTTTGGGAGGCGTGCGCTGTCAGTACCAGATCCAGACCGGTCCTTGCCGCGGCTTCGTTTGCGGTAAGATCGGTCACACCACTGTCCGCTGTTATCGCCGCCTGGACGACCTGTTTCGTCAGCGCTTCGGCCCGTCGCCCGACCTCCCGGACTGGCACAGCTTGCTTAGTTGTAGAGTTCAGATTTTTGACCTGGACATGGATGCCATTGTTTCTGCCCTGCATGTGATGTATGCTGATGACTCTAGTGTGCTCCCCTCTTATTACTCCTTGTCGTCTAGTGTAGGTGTGCAAAGCTTAGCCTCCCCTGCTGCGTCAGACGTAGGAGCTCCTGCTTTGTTTAGCCTTGGTGCTTCCGCCGTTGCCCCGTCGCCAGCCGCCACTGCTTCGCTTTCCTTCACTTTGGACTCTGGCGCTTCCCGGTGCTTCTTCCGCGACTCTACTACGCTGACGCCGCTTCCTGTTCCTGCTGCAGTTTCTCTTGCTGACCCCTCCGGCGGTCCGGTCGTCGCTCGCAGTTCCACCATCCTTCCCTGTCCGGCGGTTCCTTCGGGCTCTCTCACAGGTCTGCATATCCCCTCGTTCTCCAGGAACCTAGTTGGTGTCGGCTGCCTCCAAGACCCTGGCGTCACCACTACGTTCCCTGGTCACGAGCGGTATGCTGTCTGTACCGAGGCCGCCACTGGTGTCCCCCTGTCCACGTTCCCCCGGGACCCGGTGTCTGGCCTGTTCACCCTGGACACCGTGACCCTCCCGGCTGGGGCGCCCCTTCAGGTGGCTGCGTCTACCCAGGTTGCTGCTGCCTGCTCCTGTCGGTCCCTCACTCACCCGACTCTCCTTTGGCACCACCGCCTAGGTCACCCTGCGCTCCCGCGTCTGCGTCACATGTCCCAGCACGGTCTTGTCCTTGGTCTCGCTGGCTTGTTCCCCGCTTTTCCCTCCTCCCCCGCCCCTCCTTGCACGCCTTGTGTCGAGGGTCGGCTTCGCCGTGCCCCTCACTCCTCTTCGTTTCCCCCTACCGCCGCGCCGCTGCACACCCTGCATCTGGACGTCTGGGGCCCCGCCCCCGTTCATGGGCCGCGCCGAGAGCGCTACTTCCTAGTGCTTGTCGACGACTTCACACGCTACACCACAGTCTTTCCTCTGGAGCGGAAGGCCGACATGCCTGATGCTCTTATCCCCTGGCTTGTCTCTGCGCGTGTCCACGGAGGTCTCCCTGTCTTGCGTCTTCACTCAGACCGTGGTGGCAAGTTTTCCTCAGGTGTCCTTGGTCGCTTCTGTCGTGCGGAGGGCATCACCCAGACGTTCACCCTACCGGACTCCCCGCAGCAGAATGGGGTCGCTGAGCGACGCATCGGTTTGGTCATGGAGGTGGCTCGCATCTCCATGATCCATGCCGGTGCACCCCATTTTCTGTGGCCATTCGCCGTGCGCTACGCTGCTCACCAGCTTAACCTGTGGCCGCACCCCCAGCGGCCGCAGGTTTCGCCAACCCTTCTTTGGACTGGGTCTCCTGGTGACGCGTCTGTGTTCCACGTCTGGGGCTGCCTTGCTCACATTCGTGCCTCTGGCACGGACAAGCTTACTGCCCGCACCCTTCCCTGTGTCTTCCTCGGTTTCCCCCTTGACGCGTCCGACTGGCACTTCTACCACCCGCCGTCTCACCGTTTCTTTCACTCTTGCGACGTCACCTTTGACGAGTCCGTCTCCTTCTACCGTCACTTCCCCCACCGCGGTCCCCCTGTTACTCCCCCTTTGTTCCTGGTCACTCCTTCCCCGGTGGTCCCTCCCCCCCCCCCTCCCCCTCCCCGTCCTGCCCCCTCTGGTGTGTCCCACGTCACCCCTCTCCCGTTGGTCATCCCGGTTGAGGAGTCTTCTGACTCTGGTGGTCCTGCGGCGCAGTCCTCGCCGTCTGCTCCCCCCAAGGTGTCTCCTCCTTCACAGCCTCTGCAGCCACCATTGCCTCTGCTGTTGCAGCCGTCGTCTCCGCCGCCGCCGCAGCCGCACCCGTCGTTACCGCCACCGCCACCGCCGCCGCCGCCGCCGCTGCCGCACCCGTCGTTACCGCCGCCGCTGCCGCACCCGTCGTTACCGCCGCCGCCGCCGTCGCTGCCACAGTTCGTCGACTCTGGTGGTGCTCGCGTTGGGGTGGGTGCTCGTCCTGGGGTTCCGGTCGTAGCGTGTCCCAGTGGCCCTGGGAGTGGTACCGGTGCCCGCGGGGTTTCGGGCACTGGGGGTGTTCCTTCTGGGGGTGCAGGAGTGGAGTGTCCCGGAGGTAGCCGAGGAGCAGCTTGCGGTCCTGGTGTCGGTGTTGAGCCGCCGCAGCAGCAGTCCACTCCAGTGTCAGCCCTTCGCCTGCTCGGCCTTCCGTCCCCTGACTCTGCGTCTGTTCCTCTCCTGCTGTCTCCTCCTCTTCCTGTCTACGGCTCTGTGTTCCCTCCTCCGGACTCGTCCCCGGCTCGTCTTCCCCCTCGCTCCCCCCCTGTGTCCCCTCCTCTGTCTCGTGACCCGACGCCTTCGTCTCACGTCTGGTCTCGCCGTCCCTCCCGTGCTCGCCCCGTCTCCCCTGTCACACGCTCTCACCCTATGTTGCTCCGTTCCCACGCGTCTCGTCCTCCCCTTCTACCGTCACCTCTTCCGTCCTCTCTTACCGTTGCGCCTCCTCCTCTGTCTGACTACCTTCGTGCCGCTAGTCCTCTTGTTCCTCGCGTCCTCGCCTCTCTCGTTACTGGCCCGTCCGTTCCGGTCTCGTGTCTTGACGCTCTTGTCGCTGCGGTCGCTGCCTTCGCCTCTACCGGCCGCCTTGACTACGCCACCGCTCTGGTCTCTGACCCTGTCTGTCCTCCGTCTGTCGGGGGTGCTCCTTCCCTCGGCAGCGACATCCTGGAGGACCACCAGTACGAGCTTGCTTTCCTGTCCGAGGCTGCTCCCTATCTCTGTTCCATGCTGCTAATCCTTGAGGGTGACCCAGACGCTTTCGACATCCCGACCCCTCGCACTTACGCTGAGGCGACCTCGGGACCCTGGGCCTCGCAGTGGATAACTGCCATGGAGTAGGAGATGGCATCTTGGAGATCCACCGGCACCTACGTCGACGCAGTTCCCCCGCCTGGGGTGAACGTAGTCGATGGCCGCTGGCTCTTCAAGGTGAAGCGCCCTCCTAGAGAGCCGCCTGTGTTCAAGGCAGGCTACAGACTTCAGTCAGCGTGAGGGGGTGGACTTCTTCCAGACCTTCGCTCCGACCCCGAAGATGACTACTCTTCGGGTTCTGTTACACCTAGCTGCTCAGCGTGACTACGAGCTTCACTCCCTCGACTTCTCCACTGCCTTCCTTCAGGGCAGCCTACACGAGCAGGTCTACCTACGTCGCCCTCAGGGCTTTACTAGCACCTTCCCTCCTGGGACCCTGTGGCTCCTGCGGCGTCCCGTCTACGGCCTGCGGCAGGCTCCCCGTGAGTGGCACGAAACGCTGCGTGCTACCCTTGCTGACCTGCAGTTCTTTCCATCTTCGGCAGACCCCTCACTGTTCGTTCGTGCTGGCCAGACTCCGTTCTACATCCTTGTTTACGTGGACGATCTGGTCTTTGCCACAGCAGACAGGGACGCACTGGCCTCCGTGAAGGCAGAGCTGCTGAAGAGACACACTTGCACTGACCTTGGAGAACTGCGCCGTTACCTTGGCTTGCAGATCTCCAGGGACAGAGCAGCGCGCACCATCACCCTGACTCAGTCACACTTGGTGCGCCAGGTCCTTCAGAGGTTCAGCCTTCAGTTCTCTTCTGCACAGCCCACCCCTCTATCTGTAGACCACAGACTCTCCGCTCCAGTTTCTGAGGAGTCAGTAGAGCCCAGTGGCCCTTACGCATAGCTGGTGGGTTGCCTCATGTACCTGATGACTTGCACTCGCCCACATCTCGCATACCCTCTCAGCATCCTGGCTCGCTTTGTGGCCACAGGTAGACACCGACCGCAGCACTGGTCTGCCGCTAAGAGGGTTTTGCGTTATCTTGCAAGTACATCGGGCATGGGGTTAGTGCTAGGAGGACGCAGGTCAGTGGTCCTTACTAGGCACACAGACGCTTCTTGGGCAGACGACACCGAGACACTCAGGTCTTCCCAGGGCTACTGCTTCAGCCTTGGTTCAGGTGCCGTCTCGTGGAGAGCTACCCGCTTCTCATCTTTTGCCCAGTCCAGCTGTGAGGCCGAGATCTACGCTGGTGCCATGGCGGCACAGGAGCTCCGCTGGCTGACCTTCTTGCTCACTGACTTAGGTGAGCGGCCTAGCTCTGCCCCGGTCCTGTACGTTGACAACAGGGCCATGATCCTCTATTGTCAGGAGCCTCGACTCGAGGGCAGAGCGAAGCATATCCAGCTGCGGTACTTCCTTCTGCGCGAGCCACAGCAGCGCCGCCAGGCTCGCGTAGTACACTTGGCCTCCGGTGCCAACACAGCTGATATCTTTACGAAGGCGCTTGAGCCTAAAGGTCATCAGCGGCACTGTGTAGAGCTGGGTCTCATTCCTGTAGTCTCTCACTTGCTAGGGCCTTGACTTTGTACTGTCCTTTATATATATATATTTACTCAGACTGGACTTGTGTGCTCTCCTAGTGGCTGGACTAGTAGTGCCGCCCTGGTTTTGATCTTGTCTTGCCTGTACTCCTGTTGACTGATCTTTAGACCCTTGTCTCAGTGGCTGGACTAGTAGTGCCATCCTAAGTTGCATTTTCAGGAACTGCCCCTATGCAGTATAGGGGGTGTGTCAAACATTAGTATATCTAGTGTTTGTATAGACTGTATAGGGTCACCTCTTAGAGAGTACAACCCTTAGATATGTATGCTTGTACCCAGGTTCTCTACTCATTCATTCTCTCAGTTCTAAGAGGTAGGTCCCCCCCCCCTCCCCCCCTCCCCCCCTAGCACTTCCGCCCTAGGTCCTAGCCGCCTCGTCACCCCGCGGCCCCGTCCCCTAGCGGCCCCGTCCCCTGCGGCCCCGCGGCCCAGTCACCTAGCGGCCCCACGGCCCAGTCACCTAGCGGCCCCGCGGCCCCGTCCCCTAGCGGCCCCGCGGCCCCGTCCCCTAGCGGCCCGGTGGCCCCGTCCCTGAGCGGCCCGGTGGCCCCGTCACCTTGCGGCCCCGCGACCCCGTCACCTAGCGGCCCCACAGCCCCGTCCCCTAGCGGCCCCGCGGCCCCGTCACCTCGCGGCCCCGCGGCTCCGTCCCCTAGCGGCCCCGCGTCCCCATCACCTAGCGGCCCCGCGACCCCGTCCCCTAGCGGCCCCGCAGCCCCGTCCCCTAGCGGCCCCGCGGCCCCATCACCTCGCGGCCCCCCTTCCCCCAGCCGGCCCCAACTCCCTGCCGGCCCCGCCTCTTTGGCGGCCTTGTTGCCTTGCCGCCCGCGGCCACGTCTTCTAGATGCCTCGCCACCGTCCTCGGCCCCTTTGCACCGCGCTGCACCGCCCGGCACCGCTCTGCACCGCACCGCACCGCACTGCACCGCTTTGCACTGCACTGCACTGCACCCTACCGTACTGCACCTCCCTTTACTACATAGGACCGCACATCACCGCTTTCTGCCGCGCTCTCCTGCCTGGTACTGTCTTTCTCCTGCTGCTGCAACCATGATGGCGGACTCTGTCCTGCGTTTTGATGCTGAGGGGGAGGAGTGGGACGAGGAGGCGGGGGGGAAATGAGGGTCAGGGTCAAAGATGTCACTAGAGGAGGGGGGGTCGCTAGGGACCGAGGCGGCGGGGAGGGGAGGAGGTGGAGCGGGGGGGAGGATGGGAGGGGGAGGGAGAATAGGGGGGGGGGGTAGTGTCGGACCAGGTGAGGGGCCTGGGAGCAGGGGCGAGAAGGTCAGTGGGGGGAGGAGTGGAATAGTTGGGTGTGGACTCATCAAAGACCACATCTTGACAGCGGAGGAAACGACCTGAGGGGGGGTGAAGGAAGAGGTAGTCCGGGGAGGAAGGGTTATGACCAAGGAAGATGCAGGGGAGGGTACGGGAGGCGAGCTTTCCCATGGTGCGGGGGCGGTCCGCAGGGTGAATGAGGACATACGCCCTGGAGCCCCACACACGGAGGGAGGAGATGTCAGGCTTGGTTGACGTCCAGAGCTCGGTGGGAGTGGTGGAGGGAAGGATGGGGTGGGGGTACAGGTTAGTAAGGAGGGTGGCGTGAAGGAAGGCATAGCCCCATAGAGAAGGGGGGCAAGAGGCATGGACGAGGAGACACCGAGCAATCTTGGTGATCTCCCGAACACGGCTCTCGGCCACACCATTCTGCTGGGGGGAGTGGGGGAGGGTGTGAGTCTGGCGAATGCCATGAAGCTCACAGTAGGAGGCTACCTGGCGGTTAAGGAATTCGCCACCGCTATCAGAGTGAAGGCGGCAGACAGGGCGGCCAAAGTGGGTGCTCGCCTGCTTGAGCCAGGCGATGATCGCAGCCGGAGCGTCACTCTTTGAGCGAAGAAGGGAGACGGAGGAATATCGGCTGTGATCATCGACCAGAACAAGCATGTAGCGATGGCCCTGGCGGGAAGGGGAGGGGTTGGGGCTCCAGAGGTCCATGTGAACAAGATCAAGCGGCTGAGCAGCAGCGGAGGGGGAACTCCGATGCGGCAGCTGTTTGAGCTTGCTCTGGACACAAACGGGGCAAGGTGAGGCAGGGGAGGGAGAGAGGGGAGGGAGGGTGAGGGGAAGACTTCGAAGGAGACCTGAGGAGACGGTCAAGCGGAGGGTGGCAAAGTTGAGGTGACCAAGCCTGTGGTGGAGGAGGACGGTGGGATGGGAGAGGGATCGACAGGAGCAAGTTGGGTCAGGGGGGAGGGGGGAAATGGTTGGGTTAGAAGGAGGGAGAGGAGGGGGAGGGATGTGAGGGGGGGGAGGGAGCAGGAGACTGCCTGGGCAGAGGGAAGATGAGGAACTCGAAGGGTATATAGGCGGGAGCGAGGACAAAAGGGAATACGGGAGAGGAGGCGACCTGTGGGATGGTATAGGAGGCAGTGATTAGCGCGACCTGGGAAGACAGTGGTGATACCGGCCTACTGCAGGGATCGCTGGGAGAGGAGGTTAGTACGGAGGGAGGGGATGTGTAAACCAATGACGGTACTTGAGGGGAAGAGGGGACAGGGGAGGGTAGAGGTTTGGCGACAGGGAATAGAGAAGCTGGAATCGGCACAAAGGAGGGAGGTGGGGGCTGGGAGAGGGTGAAGGGTACCCTTATCACGAAGGACTGACTCGGATGTGGGAGAGGAGGTGGGACAGAGTACTGAATCACATTCTCATTAATACCAGCCGAATACATGGAAGGGGCAGGGGTTCCAGCCTGACTAACCATGCCAACAAAACCAGAGGAGGGGAAAGGAGTCACACTGCCTGTGGCTGAGGGTGCGGGAGATGCGCCCGAGAGGTGAGCTGCGGAAGCGGCGGTGCCGGCGGTCCAAGCGGGGTAGGGCTGCTGGGGGGGAGCCATAGGAGGAGGTGCAAGGGGGAGCTGCGACTGGAGGTCAAGCTGCTGCTGGAGCTGCTGGAGTTGCTGCTACAGCTGGGAGAAGAGGTGCTGCTGCCCCTGCTGCTGCTGCTGCTGCTGCTGCTGAAACTGCTGTGGCAGGATCTGCTGCGGAGTCTGCTGTTGCTGAGAGACGGCCGAGTGAGCCGAGGGGGAGGAGACGGGCTGGAAGAGAGGGGAGGTACGAACCTCTTGAGGAGTGGGGAGAGGGGAGAGGGAGGACCAGTGGGGGGGGGTGCCGGTGTTGCCGCGGGCAAACCACTCATCACTGAGCGCTTTGAAGCAAGAATCAGTGGCATGAGTGGTCTGGCCGTAGCGCTGACCCCGTGTGGGGCCATAGCGAGGGAGATACTGACAAGGAAGAAAGGTGGCTGCTGCACCACGTCCTGCACCACTGCCACCACGACCCGCACCACCACCACGACTAGCGCCACGCCCACCCCCATGCCCTCCCCTGGTGTTGCGCTGCTGAGCGACCGCGGCAGTGGAGGAGGAATGGCGCAAGAGGTCGGCCTCAATGGTGATGATCCACAAGGCGGCCTCAGCAGGGGTGATGCACTTGTCGATAAGCTGCATGTAGGTGATCTTGTGGGTGTCGAAGGTGTTATAATCACAATAGGCTTAGATGTGCCTATAATGAGAGATAGAGAGCACAGTTGGATTTTCGTCAGACGGCTTCAAATATTGATAACGATCTGCTCGCTGAGTCAAACAATGAACTGAAAAATGGATCTGGAGCGCGTTGGTGTCGTCTATCAGCAGCAAGTTGAATCATGAAATTCCATGAAGATTTCACGACGCTATGGCGGTTTTACTAGCAGGAGGTACAGCAGCCACTATAGTCTTAGGAGTACAAAAACTTAGGAAGAAGAATTCGAGAGGGAGATGGTTCCCAGCCTCTACATACCCCAAGAGCCGAGGTCTAGGTTGGTGGTACACCACCAGAGAGTCCCCAACCATGAAGAGTCTCGAAACAAACCCTCCAAGGGGCTACACCAAGTGAAATGTAACACTACACGAAGTAGCGTTACTATTTTCACTATTTAATATTTATCCGTGTCCCTTGGGCTTGAAATCTTGAGCTCTTGGTCTTGGTTCTGCAAGATCAATTCTTCTTGAATTGATGGGGGCTTGCTGCACACACCTGCGATGCGATGGACACTTCACACTCGACAAAATAGAAAAAACACATGCGACACGCAAACGACGACTTGACATGCGAATTGTAAAAACTCGCTAATGTCTTGACCGACACAAACCACATTGTGATACACCATTCAAACACACACACAAGCACTAGATAGCAATGACATAGACTCACAATTCATTCCATACCATGCATGCACACACACAAACAAGGACGACAAGCCGAGTGCAAGCCATAGGGTTGCACCAACAGAAGGCAGGAGTCAAGCCTTCAAGGAGGTGGCAGCAGAGAACTGGGTCCGGGTACGGGACGCCAAGAGCCGCCAGACGACGAGCGAAGTCGAGGACGCGACGAGTGAAGGCCGCTGCGCCAGTGGTGGAGTCCATGGTGAGGCTCTGGAACTCCTTGATGAGGGAGTAGAGGGTGGCGAAGTCCTGCCGATCATAGAGATCGGTGAGGAGCCACCAGAGGTGGGAGGAGGAGGTGGGAGCAAGCTCCCGCTTGAGGGTGGGAGGAATGGTGGCGAGGAGGATGGTGAGCGCGCGGCGGTCAGTGACATGCTAGGCGGCGAGGTCGGTGGTGTAGGAGCACTCACGCCTGGCGTATTCCGCGAGCGCCGCATGGTATGTGGTGTGGGCGGCAGTGGCGGCGTCATGCTCGGCCCGGGAAGCCTCGTAGAGCAGCTGCTGGCGGACGTGGTCGGTGAGGCCAGCACGATAGGTGCGGATGGCGGTCTCGGAGCTCTGAGGGTCGTTGACGTCAGGGGCGAAAGTTGGAGGATCGCCGGGGCTGACGGGAGCATCGCCAGGAGGAGGAGGTGCGAGGCCCGCGGGAGCATCCGGTTGGGCAGGCTGAAGACCGCGCTCCTTGAGGTGGACAACGGCTTTCAGGTTGTAGCCGTTGACCGTCACCGAGGAGAGAAACACCGTGACGGTGTGGGCATAGGAATGCCAATTGGCCGCGGTGTTGTCGGGCAGCAACTCAAGAGAGTCGACGGAGGCGAGGTCCATCGAGGAATCGGACGCCATGGAGGAGGAGGGGGGGGAAGGAAGGGGAAGAGGAGGAAAAAGGAAAGGAGGAGGAGAAGGAGGAGAAGGAAGAGGGAGGAAAAGAGTAGGTGAGTGGAGCGCAGCTCTTAAGTCGCCGAAGGCGGGATGCGGCGACGGACGGCCACGAGCGGTCGGCGGAAGCGACGACAAACAGCCGCACGTGACGGCAGCGAAATCCGTGACAGACAGCCGCGTGCGGCGGCGGCGGAATCAGCGGCGGACAGCCGTACGTAACGGCAGAATCGGCAGCGGTTGCGGCGGCGAGCCAATCGCGATGGGCGGATTCGTCGGCGGGTGCACGCGGGTGCCGCGACGAATAGGCGCGTAGTGTGAGAGCGTGACGAATGGGTGCGCGCGGTGGCGGAGGGCGCACGACGGGAGGACGCGGCGACGAACCGCGCGAGGAGGAAAAGGGCGTCGAAAGACGAGAGGGGACGTGCGCAACGGAAGGGAGAGCGGGCGCGATAGGAGGGGCGCGATGAGAGAGAGAGAGAGCGTGCGCGATGGGAGACCGCGTCGGGAGAGGGCGCACGGACGGCGCACGAAGTAGCCTAAGAAGGGCTAGGCTTCGATGACGAGGAGGGACGGCATAGGGCCGTGCTATTTAGGATCGACCATAGGTGGCGTGAGCCATTGTGGCTCTGATTTCCATGAAGGAACTAGCTTTGAGGAGAAAAACATAGATCGAGTCGGGAGCCAAGAGACTCTTTTGTACAAACAAGGAGCAGGGAAGAGATGGAGGGGAAGGTCTCCCATTGGCCGTAATGTAGACCAATGGGAGAGGTAGCTTGGAGGACAAGCAACCACAAAGTGCGGTGCTCTTCGATTGGCCACAATGTGGACCAATGGGGGAGGTTGCTTGGAAGGTAAGCAACCACAAAGTGTGGTGCTTGGTGATTGGTTGGGTCTTGGGACCAAGGACCATTTGGTTGGAATAGTCCAACCAAATGTCTAGGACCAAATCCAATCTTGACCAACCCAAATGTGGGGTAGGTTAACCCAACCAACAACCTCCCAATAAATATAATGACTACACCTCCTGATCTAGGCATGCATGTTGTGTACATACATATTTTACAACAAATAGAGGGGGGATGTGTGGACAATAGAGGGGGGGATGTGTGGGCGTTGGAGGGGGGATGTGTGGACATTAGAGGGGGGATGTGTGGACAATAGAGGGGGGATGTGTGGGCGTTGGAGGGGGGATGTGTGGACAATAGAGGGGGTATGTGTGGGCGGTGGAGGGGGGATGTGTGGACAATAGAGGGGGGATGTGTGGGCGTTGGAGGGGGGATGTATGAACAATAGACGGGGGATGTGTGGGCGTTGGAGGGGGGATGTGTGGACAATAGAGGGGGGATGTGTGGGCGTTGGAGGGGGGATGTGTGGACATTAGAGGGGGGATGTGTGGACAATAGAGGGGGGATGCGTGGGCGTTGGAGGGGGGATGTGTGGACAATAGAGGGGGTATGTGTGGGCGGTGGAGGGGGGATGTGTGGACAATAGAGGGGGGATGTGTGGGCGTTGGAGGCGGGATGTGTGGACAATAGAGGGGGGGTGTGTGGGCGTTGGAGGGGGGATGTGTGGACAATAGAGGGGGGATGTGTGGGCGTTGGAGGGGGGATGTGTGGACAATAGAGGGGGGGTGTGTGGGCGTTGGAGGGGGGATGTGTGGACAATAGAGGGGGGATGTGTGGGCGTTGGAGGGGGGATGTGTGGACAATAGAGGGGGGATGTGTGGGCGTTGGAAGGGGGATGTGTGGACAATAGAGGGGAGATGTGTGGGCGTTGGAGGGGGCATGTGTGGACATTAGAGGGGGGATGTGTGGGCGTTGGAGGGGGGATGTGTGGACAATAGAGGGGGGGATGTGTGGGCGTTGGAGGGGGGATGTGTGGACATTAGAGGGGGGATGTGTGGACAATAGAGGGGGGATGCATGGGCGTTGGAGGGGGGATGTGTGGACAATAGAGGGGGTATGTGTGGGCGGTGGAGGGCGGATGTGTGGACAATAGAGGGGGGATGTGTGGGCGTTGGAGGGGGGATGTATGAACAATTGAGGGGGGATGTGTGGGCGTTGGAGGGGGGATGTGTGGACAATAGAGGGGGGATGTGTGGGCGTTGGAGGGGGGATGTGTGCACAATAGAGGGGGGATGTGTGGGCGTTGGAGGGGGGATGTATGAACAATAGAGGGGGGATGTGTGGGCGTTGGAGGGGGGATGTGTGGACAATAGAGGGGGGATGTGTGGGCGTTGGAGGGGGGATGTATGAACAATAGTGGGGAGATGTGTGGGCGTTGGAGGGGGGATGTGTGGAAAATAGAGGGGGGGTGTGTGGGCGTTGGAGGGGGGATGTGTGGACAATAGAGGGGGGATGTGTGGGCATTGGAGGGGGGATGTGTGGACAATAGAGGGGGGATGTGTGGGCGTTGGAGGGGGGATGTGTGGACAATAGAGGGGGGATGTGTGGGCGTTGGAGGGGGGATGTATGAACAATAGAGGGGGGATGTGTGGGCGTTGGAGGGGGGATGTGTGGACAATAGAGGGGGGATGTGTGGACAATAGAGGGGGGATGTGTGGACAATAGAGGGGGGATGTGTGGACAATAGAGGGGGGATGTGTGGGCGCAGCAGCAGCAACGGAGGGTCAGCCGTCTCCCGGCTGGGTGGCCTGGAGCTGGAGGTGACGGTGGTCGCAGTGGTCGCTCGCGCGGCGTGTCGTCAGGTGGTAGTCAGAGTGACGGGCGCTGCCAGTACCAGCTCCAGACCGGTCCTTGCCGCGGCCTCGTGTGCGGTAAGATCGGCCATATCTCCGCTCGTTGCTTTCGCCACCTAGACGATCTGTTTCGTCTCCGCTTTGGCCTGTCGACTGACCTCCCCGATTGGCACAGTCTGTTGCATCGTCGTTTTCAGATCTTTGATATGGACATGGATGAGATTAGCTCTGCTTTGTATGCACTGTATGTTGATGAATCTAGTGTGACTAGTTCCTATTACCATATGTTGCCTAGTGTAGGTGTGCCCAGTGTGCCTAGTTCAAGCTCCCCTGCTGCGTCAGGCGTAGGATCCCCATCCTTGTTTTGCCTTGGGTGCTCCCTCGCTCCTCCGACCTCTGTCGCCGCAGTCGCACTCTCCTTCATCCACGTCCGTTGGGCTTGAAATTTTCAGCTTTTGGTCTTGGTTCTGCAAGATAAATTCTTCTTGAGTTGATGAGGGCTGGTTGCACACACCTGCGACGCGATGGACAATTCACACATGACAAAATAGAAAAACACATGCGACATGCAAACGACGACTTGACATGTGAGTAGTGACAACTCGCTAATGTCTTGACCGGCACACACCACATTGTGATACACTATTCAAGCACACACACAAGCACTAGATAGCAATGACATAGACTCACAAGTCACTCCATGCCATGCATGCACACATACGAACAAGGATGACAAGCCGAGTGCAAGCCATAGGGTTGCACCAACACTTTCGTGCACGCCCACGCTGCCCAATGACCTCGGGCACTAGGAAACGTACTCAAATATTGAGACGTGGAGGCTAAAACGAAAAGACATGGGGCTCAGATGCACCTTGCAGCGAGACGCAGGCAAAGTGCACCAAGTAAGAACGCGTGCAAGCTGGAAATTATAAAGCACTTCACCATACACACCAAAAGATTCGACTATCGGACAGATTCGAACAAAAGCACTATCTAATCTAATACCCGTTCTCTCTCGATAGTTTTTTCTACCCCAAAACCTCTCACCATTCTATGGCTTCCCTCCTACCTAGATTCTAGTATTCTAACACCTGAGTAGATCATTTAGTTTCGAAATTTCTGTTTATATATGAACAAAGCAGGCCCCCAAATTGTAGACTTTTTACTCTGATTCATATTTTTTTCAGAGTTTTCTTGGGGGTGTAATCTGATCGCAAAGACTTTTTTTTGTACCTTACTCTGATTTTTCATAAATGATTTATGAACCTACGCTGATTTTTCAGACTTTTTTTTACTAGTGTACTCTGATGCCTCAGCCCTATATGGGGTGTTGACTCTGATTCGTCATATAATACAGTGATCAGGGGGAGCGTGATTTGCGCTGGTACCCCTGTGGAGGGCGCTGACTGGCACTTAAACAAAATCAGGGAGGGCGCCATGCTTGTTGGAGGCTTTGTGAGGGCGTTTTCTAGTCCTTCACCAAAATCAAAGGCCAATGCGTACTGGGGGTTGTATGAGGGAGCTGACTGGCCCTTCACCAAAATCACCTCCAAGTTTGTGCTGGAGGAGGTGTGAGGGGCCGATTGGCCCTTCACCAAAAAACATTTGCCGATGTGTCCCGCAGCTTGTGTGTACGAGGGCGCCCATTGGCCCTTCGCGAGATTCTCAACTCTTTGATTCGCCCCGCCCCAAGTCCGTTCCTCCCCCAAATTCGTCCCGCACATGCACTTCGTTACGAGCCACTACACCCCTTTTGATCGCCAGCTAGCACGTGCAACTGTGTCTTGGGTGGCGCGACTGTGCACCTTCACCATAGTTTGTGCGACAGACAGCTAGTGCACGAAGAACGCCCCTAGCATGCCATGCCCAAGAAGTCTGAGTGCAGGACACTCATTGTCATGTGACATGACAAAGGCTTTAAATTCAGCTTTGAAAAAAAAATGACTTTGATTTATCAGACAAAAAATCCATTGTAACTCTGATTTTTCAAACTTTTTTATAGGGCCGACTCTGACAGCCACACCAAGAAATGGCAAGCAAATCTGACGAATCAGACACCCCCAAAACCAAATTGGGGGCCTGGAACAAAGCAATTCAAGTACCTTGCTGACATCAAACTGAGGCAAACGCGACGGCCACGGTCCCGTCCTCACAAACCGGCATGGTCAGACTCTCAGAGTAGCAAATGTTAGATTAAATGAATGACTAGAACAAGCGAGAATAGGGGAGATATAGGGTTGGAGTTGTACCCTCTCTGAACACAAACATATCTAGCCTATAACTTCTACATACAGTATAACAAATGTATAAGTTGACATACCCCCTAGGCTAGATAACGGATACTGCACAGCAAGGAACGCACAGCTCAAGGTGGCACTACTAGTCCAACCAAGGAGGTAGGGGTCAGAAGACCAGTCAGCAAGAGTACAAACAAGACAAGAGCAAACCAGAGCGGCACTACTAGTCCAGCCACTGGAAGAGAAGCCACAAGACCAGTCATGAAGGTATATATAAAGAGGAGTACACAATCAAGGTCCTAGCAAGTGAGCAGCTACAGGAACTAGCCCAAGCTGCAAACAGTGCCGCTGATGATCTTTAGGTGCAAGTGCCTTAGTAAAGATATCAGCTGTGTTGGCACCGGAGGCCAAGCGTACTACGCGGGCCTGGCGACGCTGCTGCAGCTCGCGCAGGAGGAAGTACCGCAGCTGGATGTGCTTCGCTCTGCCCTCAAGTCGAGGCTCCTGACACATGATGATCATGGCCCTGTTGTCAGAGTACAAAACCGGGGCAGAGCTAGGCCGCTCACCTAAGTTGGTGTGCAAGAAGGTCAGCCAGCTCAGCTCCTGTGCTGTCATGGCACTTGCGTAGATCTCAGCCTCACAGCTAGACTGGGCAACAGACGAGGAGCGAGTAGACCTCCACGAGATGGCACCTGAACCAAGGCTA